CCGGCATGGCAGTTCATCTAATCCACGCAAGAGACCCACGATTGATACCACGAGTGGTGAAGATGATAGTGACGGCTCTGAGTATTCATTAGTAGAACGACCCATAAAACGAAAGAATCATCATGACACTCGCTGTCTTACCATACAGGTAAGTCCAGCATTAAAATCTACATTTCAATAGTAATAACAAAATCAAGCATGCTATGCGCAGTCATCTTTTGCGCGTCATGCAGATCGAGGACGACAAACACCTTCCTGATATTCACACTGAAGGTATTGTGCTGGGCCCCAACGATCCTGTCCGTTTCGTCTGGGACAAGACGCCTAAACAATCTGTCCACAATGGGCGAATGAAAGAACGTGTGCTACATGACCTCAGAGCCCATCGCCACCTGTATAAACACGTCCCTGATAAGGATTTCAACAAAAAATCTCTGGAATCTGTTTTCGACCAGGCATTCGTTACATTCAGACAGAAATTCAGAGCTCAGCGGGACGCCTCTATCGCTGTAAACCAGAAACAGCGAGAAGATGTCAAAGCAATGCGTTCCAGAAGATTAAGCCGTAAAAAGACGGTGAGGTTGTCCGTTCCACCAACAAGATAAATCCGATAATTGACTAGAAGCACTCTAGAAACTGAGCAATCGCTCAGACGCTCGAAATAAAGTTGAAACCTTCGAGCATGTCGTATTTGACGGCGCATTACAGGTGGAATGTATGTCTTCTGAGGAATCCGAAACTGAAGAGGATCCGGCCGTCGGTTCCCGTACGACTTCGCTACGTGTTCGGGGGCTCCCTTGGCGTAGCACCCGGTTACTACGCCTTTTCGATATACTGGATAATTATGAAAAAGCGGATAACTTACAAAAGCCACGGAGAGGCGTCGGAAGGAAAGAACGATTTCATGGTTTACCAAAAGAAGGCCTCATTCTCCCACCTAAGGGCGTAGCCACTTGGATGATCAGTAAACGCTGGATAAGTGTGATGCAGGCATCTCACTTAGAGGTGTTGAGTAGTCTGAAGGATGTTATTCTGGACCCCGTTGGATTTGATTGGAGCCAATTTCATGCCCTTGGAGAGGAGAGCGAGGACGAAGAGAGTCTCGACATGGCACGACACCATGACATGATGATTGCGCATAATGGTTTACACTTTACTCATCCCGATGATGGCACGGCTATCAGTGCTATTTCTTCTTTGTATAATGCTCTAGTACATACCCAGTAGGCTCGAATGTGAAGGCGATAAATGACCTGTGTCATGTACAGAAACTAAGTGGAGCGTTGAACAAGCACGAGTGTATTACGATCAGTGGCTTGTCAGGGGCTAATTACCATTCTTGGAAGTTTCTCACAGTCTCGTGCCCACACGTTTCAACGTCTGCCTAGGCGTCTTAGCACCTTCGATGATGTACCTTCCTCAACTTATGCCTATCTAATTAATCATCCGACTCTTCTTCCAATCGTTGAGCGGCTTTCTTTGCAGGACTTACTTTTACTCAGATGCACCTCTTCACCCCAAATCACGTGTCCTTAATTGCTGCATGCTATCCTTCTTCATCAGTATTGGCTTCTTCTGGTCCTGAATATCGTCCGAATGCGCAGGAGCTCTCCAAGCTCACATACTATGCTGCTAATCGCCCAGGAAAAATAAACAAGCTCGGGGGTGAACTGGAAAAACGTGTCAAGGCAGGGTGTCACAAGGCTCAGTATGGAAATGCTCGAGCCAGAGCGTACGTCCTAGGAAGCCTCAAAAGTTTCTTGCAGATCTTTATAATCCTCAACCAGATCCTTACTTATCACACTTTCTGTCTTGCGCGCGTTGGCAGTAGAATGTCGACGTGATATATCGCTACTATCCCCAGCTTTGGTCGCATGCCTTAAGGTCACGTTGGATTCCCTCTCTTCTGACCTCGAAGTAGTAGCGCGAGCAGCCAGCGTGGTTAGTGCTAGACCTACCCGGTTTGTTCAAGCAAAACTCACTCAGATTACAGTTTACTGCGTGGTGTACTTTCACCGACGGTCATGTCATTGAAGCAGATTCTAACTTGGCCCGAGATTACCTCGCTGTCTTACGGCGATTTGCCCAACTATCCACCGCCGACGTCAAGTCGGTTGATCACGAGCTAAGGAACAGGCGAGTCTTCTGCTTCCCCGTTTCCGACGAGTCATTTATTGGCTCGCTCAGGACTCGTTTAGTCGGATTGGCTGCTCTCACAGGCGCTGTGAATTCAGAAGCCCTTTATTGCTCTTCCAACCAGTACAAGCCCCAAGTATCAATCATATCACGCGCATTGCTTTTCCATGTCATGAATGCGGAGTTGTCTGTTCTCGATGAGTGGTAAGTCGTCGTTCTTACGGGGAGAACATTCATCTTATTGTGAGTCAAGTGCGGAGGCTATCAAAAGCAACGCTACTTCAATATATCTTGCAGAATTTCGTTCTCGACCTGTTATCGAAAGACGTGCTGCCTCCATTCATGCACACGTAGACGGGGAGAGCGGTCCATCTTCCTTCGATGTTCTAAATACATCGTTAAGAGCACTACAACACATGATACAACACTCTGATGGCGCTCAAATGGGGCTCTTGATGTTGGCTACATTCGAAGGCCTAAGCGATCTTAAAGTTTGGGAGAAACTCGACCAAAGTCGATGGCTAGCTCAAAAGGCATGTGAATGGGCCCAGTACCAGTATCGCTATGCAGTGCCTACTCGATTGGTCGAACAGCTCCTTTTGATCCAGGACTCCTTGATATGCACAGCCCAACATAGAGCCTTAGCTACTATGGTCCCCGCGGTCTTCACGTCCCCCGTACCTCTCGTTAATTTGTCCACATCAGATATCATCTCAAACCTTATCACTTTGGTCCTACGGCGTATATCGATTGATCCTCAGGATGCCCTCCTATCGTCGCTCGTGGAATGCATATCCTCTTTGGGCGCCCACATCTACTATTCTGACCAGATTCAAGACCTTGCTAGCGAACTTGTCAGCCGCCTTGTAACCGTTGAGATGCAAGGGGTTACTGGTCGCGATAAAGAACCTGGTGACCGCAGGCGAAGTCAGGCTATCAGGTGTCTCCTTGCAGGTCTTCTAGGTCTCATGCGTGCTGCTGATGGCTCACAAGTGGTGGCGGATGATAAAAATACCCCCCAAAATATTCCCTCATCTTCCATTCCACAGAATAACGATCCTTCGCAACGACCTCTCTCTCACCTTTCCCGGCGGACAAGGGTATCCGGAGAAGTATGGCACGAGACCCTGAGTCTTCTCTGCGATGGAGACTACTCGGTACGGAGCGATTACGCCCATACTCTTGTTGATTACTTGCGTAAAGAGATTCCAAAACGTGGAGACATAACAGATGAAAACGGTGTCAGACGTTTTCGCCCTCTCATTGAAGGTAGCCCGACGCATCAAGCAAACAACATTGGTATTCTATCATACGGCGACTCGGCGACACGATCGCTCCATGCTACACATGCTTATCTTTTCATACTGGCGACAACTTCATCTCTTGGCATTTCGTTCAACTCAACTCCTTCGCCCGCTTACTCCGCAAATGGTGACATTCCTTCTATCGGAGTCACAGCCCCTACTCCTCAGAATGAGTCAGGCCCCGTCAATGGACATAGCACTGACCCACAAGGTTCTTCCCCTGCCCGGAGGTCACCAGGGCTTCTTGCCCGGATACGTAAAAGTTCGAATACACAACGCTTGTTGGAGAGCGTACCTGAGAAAGTCTCGGCAGCTGCTTCGGCGTCCCTGTCAGACTATGCACTGATCTTGTATGTACTGTCTGCTATCCACGAGGAAGTTCCGACCCGCGGCCTTCTTGTTGGTCTCCCGATGCTCATGGCGCTCCATGGAACTACCGACATTGAAGACGGGACGAATGAGGCTTTTAAGCAGCGAGTGAAGGTGATACATGAGTTGCTTGCTCGCGTTTGGCTTGTGCTCGGTCGCGTCTGGGAATGCACGGAACTGGTGGCCCTCGCTGAAAAGGTCAGTTACTCTAAATCCTCTTTTCTCTTCTCGCAGAGATTATTGATCAACGAGACCAGGCTTTGTCAACAATGGAAGCGGCACCAACCCTGCCCTCTCTCCCAGAGTTTATTCCTGGAGTCCTAAGACCAGCACAGACAGAAGTTAGGTTCCCTCCTATAGAGGCAGAAGGAGCAGTGGGGTCATGGTCAAATGTCAATGCCGAGGAGGCACTGGCGATATTAGTGTCTTCTAAGTCTGTTCAAGATGCAACAGGGCTTGACCGTCAAGGGCTACTTCGCCGTTGTTCGGCAAAATGGACGATAGATACGGCTCTCAGAGACTGTAAGGCGAACTGTTTGTTGTGGATTACTTACTTATCTGAAACCCTAGCAGCGGATAGACCGAGCAGCCACAGGATGATGGAAAGTGGTTCACCATTATTAAAGTTATCACCTGCTCTTATGGCTATCGAGAACCTCTCGTTACAAAGTCTGACACGGTCGGTCCGTGGAGTAGGTGTGACTGATTTACGCGATGCGCTTGAAGGACGTGCAGGAGCATCCAACCCAGCTCTTGTCAGGCGACCTTCTGTATCCACCCTCGAATGCTCGCCTTCTCTTGATCTTCGCTCCAGCCCACTTGGGTTAACGCGAAGTCGGTCTAGACCCAAGAAGCGTGCTGTCACAAGTAGTGCGGGTGAAGTAAGAGATGTTTTGAATAGGTTGGGAATTGGCAAACAGAACGGAAGTAGCTTGTTGAAGGCTTCCTTCCAGTGAGTGTCCAAACCAAATTTGCACGTACGTGCTTTTAGACTGATCATGTGCTACACCAGATCACCTGCTTGATCTTCTATGCTATCAGTTTGAGGCACTACCATTCCTTTCTCGTCAGTTTCCGGTTGCATTTTCTTCTGATTCGTCTGTTCATCATGATTTGTCGCATCGTATTTGATCACATGTTACTTATCCATCGGATCCCACAAAAATGGACTTTAATTAGGATCGTTCGACGTTATCTCTTACCAATTCGTCTACTTTGAGCAATGGACACTATTCGGCGTCGAGCCTCTTCTTCTTTCTCCGCCCAGTAAGCTATCTCCTTTTGAGATTTGGGGTGTGCGCTCAAATGAGTCCCCTTCTGGATAAGAAAAGATTCTCAGAAAATGACTTTGAACGGGCCGTCTCAGAAACAATAACGTACGTTTAGTCCCTGCAAAATAACCTCATACATTGCCGACTGTTTGGTAGCTTTAGCAACGTCATCGTTGATGTTCTCCGTGTGGCAAGCGATCAATTTCGTGAGCTCCTGTCGGAGACGAAGGAGGCTGTGCAAACACTGAGCGCAATTGAAGAGAAAGGAAGACTAAGTGATCACTTGGAAAAAATCATGGTCTCTTCTTCCTGATCAGTCAGAATGACGAAGGAATTAAACATTACAACGTATCTGTTGCAAATCTGCGGTGTGTATTAAGATTAGCCTGGCAGATGACCACATCAGGGAAACCTACATTTGCAACAGACGCATCCGTCGTTGAAGTAGCTCTGCTGAAGTAGCTAGTGATTCTACCTTCCGCAAGCTTCTTCAAAGAATCACAATGTTCCGACATGATTTTCTGGAACGCGGCCCACAGCTGCAACCTCATGGTAAACAAAAAGTTTTCCAGGGGCGGGCAGTCCCTCTTCTGCACTTCAGTAATTACAGCCTCCGTGAGTCGGATCATCGTGAGTAGTGGCACGGCGGGCGGCATGGGTTCAAGAACGGTGGTCACGAAAGTCTGTGTATTTTTGGCTCCTCGGAAATACGAAGGGGACATAAAATGTCGTACCTTGCAATATTCTAGAACAGGATCTAGGATTTGTTTCCAGATGGCATCTAACAGCGCACGCTCAGTCTTGTCCATAAAGCCGGGTCGTGCTGTCACATCACGAGGTCCGTGGCCATTACCGCTGAAGGGTCTTGAAACGTGCGTACCAATTTCAGAACCAGCGTTGGACCTCCTATCGTCAAAGCCAATATCAGGTGACAAAAGCGTGGCAGTGGGTGAAAATATGGCGCTGTTAGTTTCCATTGCAGGAGGGGGCGCAAAGGACTCAGAACGGAAAAAGGCAGCGATAAACGCATATTCTGCGGTGGCATTATCCATCAACACCAGAAAAAGGGACCTGAGAATGGCTTCGATAGGTTCTTCCTACGTAGATTGCCTCAAAATAGGCATAATATCAGAATGCGATCGCATAGACTCACGTGAGTCTTGTCATCTGCCATATAGGCGAGGATGACGCTGGGTCCATCCATTTTTGCGTACGCAAGACGATCTTGATCTAGGTATGGTCCACCGTTGTCTCCGTTTCCTGAAATGATGGATTCAGGTTTCTCCGGGGTCCTTGCCTGACGTTCTGGTTAGTAACTGCATCCAGGCATAAATAACATAAACACCTTGATCCATCCTAAGCTGCGAACATAACGACGAAACCCAGTTTCATAGTATGTGCGGGCTGTACTAGTGTAAGCCTTTTGAACCTCGCTGGCAACGTTCGGCGCCTGCCGTTGGAGGAATACATATAATGCTCTGTACTTCACAAAGATTGAAGTCTGCATAACTTGCATGTTCGTCGTGACACTTGTTCGTATTGGCTGTAGCAATGCGAGAAAGAAAGTTCGTAACTTCGTAGCTGCCTTGATTAGGGATTGGAGAAATGAAAAAAAAATGGACAATAATAAATCCACGCACTACTATGCGAAGCCCTTCTGCGACGTCTCCAAGATCCCTGGCGGCTTTGACACGAGACCGAACCTTCAGAATATCTAACCGTCGTTCAAGGTCAGTGATAGTTGCTATCCAAGGCTCCCCAACATCTGTGTCTAAGATAGTAACTGCAAGTGACGGAGGTATAGCAAGGTCTGACAGAAGACTTGAGAGCGGTTTCTCTATTCTCTGGAGTCACGGCATCAGACCACTACCCTGTCCAATTCAGTTATGAACCTACACGTCGACTCTTCAGCCTGTTGTCGATGTCTTTGCTCCTTTCCTGTAGCTCTGATATCTGGCCGGATACAGAAGAAAGGTCCTTTTGAAATGTAGACAGAAATGATTCCAGAGAATCCAGGAGATTTACGCTCGTCTGAAGGGTTGAACAACTTGAAGAGTAAGTGGCATTCTAGTAGGCAACATACGTACCTCAACCTGTTCATGCAAGTCGACAAAATCCTTCGCTTGGCCATGGTCTGCATTCACTCGTCAACCTGCTTCCAGCGGCCAGAAGTCACAAGTACTCACAGAACAGACTTCGTTGTCCAACCTCAGACGCAGACCTGGTATCTTGAGTCATAGTACCGCTTCACCTGAAGCAAATGAGTCACGGAACGGAGTGTCTGCAGTCGTGTGAAGGAAGCTGTATCGACTTAGAAGTGATTAACTACCTAATAATAGTAGATGTGCTCATATGCATTGCACTGCCACAAGTATTAAGCGGAATTCACCGTGACTCGGAGTTTGCTTACTTATAACTTGAACTGGAGCCTGCCTGGCAGGGATAATATCATCTAGACGGAACGAACCTCTTCCTTCTATTCGGTCTGCCTACAGAAGATGGTGGACCTAGCAGCAACTGAGAGGGGAATGAACCACAAAGCAGAATCTTTCTCTCTTGCCCGGGCACTGAAGAATCCTGAATCCGGTCGCACATTGTAAGCTTCCTTCCCTGGCAAGATATTCTTAGTTGCGCATCCGGGAGCTACAGTTTACTCATCAATCTCTATCGTTGTCCTTTTTTGTGTACTGACTATCATATCGTCTTGCAGGTATGCAAGGCACTTCACCAGACGTCATTAGAGCTTCAGTATATCATTGAACTCGGTGGACAGTGACTGCTCCCTGGCCTCAATTTGGATCTCAACACTCAAACACTCACACCCCTGTTTCCAAGCGTCTACAAATCTTGAGGAGTAGAATCCGTGCATGGTTTAATCTTGACATCAATGATTCTGTGGAACCCGTATCTATACCAGACTAATATGGCACTATGACGGAAGACTATTCCTCGCCGACGAGCATCTCTGCCTCTACAATCGAGATGAAGATTCAGCCAAGATCTTTTCGATGCTACCAAAGCCCTTATAGCAAACAATTAGGCGTGATTTATCTCCGCAATCACTGTTTTTTGTTTCAAATACAGACAATATCGATGTGCTCATGAACCCAGCGCAAAATCTGATCATCGTCGTGTATGCCGTCACTGAAGGTATTTGCCGACCGGGCGACGTTCTTTGTTGAACTTGGCGCCCTAGATGGAGGCGGTGCACACCCCCAGGCTGCTGGACAAACTTGGGACAAACACTGTCCGTGTTGGGGCTACCCCAGTGCGATTTGAACCAAACAGTGGGAAGCTCAAAGGGTTTGGGGAGGCGTATAGCTCTTTGGTGCACCCTCAGGTTTAATGATGCGGGCAGCTTTACACGCGACCGGACCATATGGTGGTTGCAGATATGGGACTGGCAATACTCAGCAACATCCATTGTGAGCCTTTGATCAGACATAGTTGCCTATGGCCTGACAGTTGACACTCGATTTAGAACGTCCTCAGTGCCTGGTGACTCAATAGATTTATTGTTTTCTCTGCCGTGATAGATTACTGATTGCCAGCTATAGATTGAAGATCTACTCAATCGAGGATATGTCCCAAGCACTACAATTACTGATGCGTTTGTTGTTGCATGTATCACCGATGATGAAGAGAAGGTGCATGCTTTCAGTGGACGACATTGAACATAGCTCACAATCACAGATGGCAGGCCCAACAAACAATGCGGACGTTAGACCCTCATCATCGACTAATATCCATTCTCACATTTTATCCACATCTCGTCTTCATCATTTCCACTAGGATTTTCTTCTACCTTGACGTCTGTGATTCGTGAAGGAATGTTCCGTAATACCGTGAAAATATTGGGACCCTCTGAATGCCCGTGTTTGCTATGACCAATATCCATGGGTTCCTGGCGTTAGCGGGAATCGAGGTTTTAGTGCAGCGGATATAATGTCCCCGGGGCGTAGGTTATAAATGCTGGACTTCGACCCGTTAGCTATCAACTGCAGGCATGGTCTAGGACCGTCATGAAAGAGCCATCTACAACAAAAATCGGTGAGTGAGGGGAGAACGTAACAACATCCCTGCCTTACGTTGAGGTTGTATTGGACAGAAGGTTCGGTTCCTGCGGTTCAGACGAGATATGGGTAATAAGGATAGAATTCATTTGCTAAGACAACTCAAGAAGTCGTAGGTTTATCCTCTTGTAAAGAAAGTTTTACGTGCTGATTTTTTAATCTAGAATGGCTTGAGCTCGAGGTCGTCGAGATTTAGAGCGTCGACTAGTGATGAAGATCATGGGACTTGTTTAGACTCGGACCATAGATTAGACAGATGCAATTGTGTCTGACCCTTTACGTTTAGGTTTCAACTGGTCTGACTCAGAGTCATGTCTGATACACTAGACCACTAGGCAGGTTTCGGATAATCATGCCAGGTCTGTCATTATATTTTCTGGGTCTGTGCCAGTCTGCACTTCCCTTCATCTTCTTAAAGTCAGAGTTTGGACACGAATCAATGGCCATCAGCTTTAGGACTGCCCGAAGGTTCTCGATGGGTCGCTTTCTACTCCAGACATAACTGGACATCAAGTCTGACCATTTGTTTTTCAGGATTGATTGGGATGCTCTCTCTCGCATGCCTTGCGCTCTCCCTCTTTCTCTGGGGAGCCGGATACTCCAAGTCGAAGAACATCGGTGCTGTGATCGTCATCCCGACAGGTGCATTTATCGGCTCTATATGGACGTAAGCTCATTCTGTTATCAGTCTTTGCACATCAGAGCTTGTCAAAATCATGCAGAATATTTACCAAGGTGGTACATAAACCGCAGCTCGTTTCAGTAGAGGCCACATGGACGTTTGCCTTGTTACCTTTCGAAATATGTAGGTCATTTTATACGAGGGGAGACCAAGTATTTATTTTTTCACAGTACTAGGTCTTTTCTCCGTCAATCTCAATATCGCAAATATGCCTACTGCGCATACCGCCTACTTGTGCCTCGCAACACTTATATGGCTTAACGCAGCTCTGGGTATGTCGATGTCCTTTGATTACGTGGGGGCCGTGCGCTTAATATGACTGCAGTTGTCATATACGTGACAACCATCATTCTCCTTGCCATTCTTACTCAGGTTTTGCATGATCAGGATGTTTGGTCTCGTGACATTGATTCGAGTCCGTCTCCGTTCCCACTGCATATCATCGTCACATACGCCCTTTCGTCTCTAACTCGACCCTTTTCCTTGGTTACCCGTCAAAACCGACCGACATCCCCTGTATCAAAGGAACACTGTCTTCCTGGCTGTACTTGCTCCCGTAAACTTCCGAACTCCTCATCTCTCGCAGACTGGCGGACTCTCGGGCCAACCTTGGAGAATACTACCAGCGATGTATCAAGTAGTCCGCACTCCCTCATCAATATTCGTGTCCCAACAGCGATGGAAAGACCAAAACCAATTGCCGTCACACTTCGGTCACGATAAAACTTGTCAGACTCCTACTACATTATTACTAGATGCATAAATTCGCCTACAAAATACACTCAAATTCACTGTGTTCTCAATTGAGAAACCACGATATTAATTACAGCGACACACAAACCTAGTAAGATTGTACAACTAGGGATGTGAACAGAATAAAATATGATACGAAGGCCCCTCTCGTTCCTTCATTCCTAAGTCTGAAGTTCATTCTGGAGTTGTTTGAGCAAAGTGGGATCTGTCTTGTTTATATACTGATTGAAGATATGAATGCCTCCGCAGTTGCGCTCAGCTTCCTGTAATGCTGCAGCCACATAATTAGTGAGCTGCGTGATGCGAACAGGATCATTGTCTAGGAACTGCCGGGTACGTGTGGGTGAGTGAGGAACAACGAAAACTTTAAAATCACCGACCAATTTTCGACGATCAAACTCGACTGTGATTTCAGAACCTGCATAGTACGACTGCGGCACTTGATCAAGGTCCCAGTGGAGTGTCAAGGGGCTGTAATTAGTATGTTAGAGCATCAGGATGCATTGACAACATTCATCATTACAAACGTACCTGGCATCCTCATTTTCAGCCAAGCTCCGGCTCTCTTTGACCTCAAAGAACACGTCTGTCCAGAGGTTGAAGATCTCGTTCGGTAAGCGATCAAGCACTTCAGGACGACCGGTTGATACGAGAGACGCAATGCCAAGGGCAGCTAGTTTGCGATGGCGAGGCTCCGACATATGGTCAAACTGCCATGTGAGCAAAACATGTGAACAAGCTTAGCGCTTCGTGATAACAGAAGACAAACCTGCCGCCACCAATGGTCCAGCACTGCTTCCCAGATTTTAGCTTCAGAGAGACTCATAGTCTCTGCTGTTGCTGATACAAGCTGCAAAAACATCTGTCTGTCTGCTAGGGCAATCCTTGCGAGCAGATATATGCATTCGGTGAGCAGACTGGGAGAGCTCTATGAATTGTGAGCACATGCGCATTGTATTCAATCAGTACAGACAACTCACCTCGTCGTGATTCAAGAGTTCAACAACGTGACTAAACAAACCAGCAAAATGCATGGCTTGGCCCCAAAGCGTAGCGGGCGCCAGCTGAGTTAGGAACTGGAGACAAACTAGTATGTCTTTCTGATTGGTCATTATGGCCTGGCCTGTAAGTGCCTTTACAAAAGCATTCATTAGCGGTTGAGCAAAGCTCTAAACACTTAGCGGCGCCCTTAGGTGAGTGATAAAGAAAGTACCTGCAAGACGGCAGGAGCGTCGACAAACAAACACGACTCGACTATAGACACTATTTTGCCAAGTAGATCTAGATTGTCTGACAGCAGAGAGACTGCTAGAGGGACCAGGTCAATGAGACTGGGTCCACCAGCATAACCCAACGATGATGAGTTGCGAACGGCGGCAAGCCAGAGATTAAGCGCATCTTCATCGAGGTTGATAGCAACCTTTGCTCGCATTAGCATATAGCACGTCAAGCACATAGGAAGGCCTTACGCCTTGAGAAAGACCTTCTTGGACAAGAGGGACAATAAGACTGTTTAAAGACGACTGCTCCTTCATCGCCTATAGTGCATGAGTATGACTGGTATTGTGATGTCAAAAACTCACCGAGACCAGACTTGTCACGACAACCAAGAGTTGAGCTTTGAATAACCACTCCTCGCCCGCAGCAGTCCCTAAACTATGTTGAACAGACTGCGTGGCTAAGGAAGTGGTAATGGAGACTTACACAACTGAGGGATGCCTTCCGAAATCATTTGTGCGTGTGGTATAATCTAAAAAATGCGCATGATGAATGTGCTCCAGCGTTGCACGAAAAACTTACTCGAGGACCCGCGCGTTCGATCACCACGTTGAGACTCTTGGCTAGACGCTGTTTCGCTTCCATTGTGTCCGCTTCGCCCATAAGCTTTAGGAGTTCGGTAACCGCAGTAGGCAAGTAAGGTGCGAAGACATCGATGTCAAAATGGACAGTCTATATAGAATGTGGACATGGGATCGTGAATATGTAAAAAAATCGTACATCGACACACTCCCGCAAGGCTGTGGCGGCAGTCAAACGAACAACAGAATCCGTGCCGGGACCTCTGTCTCGCAGCAAGTGGAGCAGGATGTCCCAAATATTAGGATCGTTGGCTGGCGAACACATGTCGCTAATCCATTTTCCAATAAGCCATGCTATACGGCGCTTAATGATCGGGTAGCTGTGGTGCTATATGAGTGAATGGAATTGTGATGTAGAAAGACAAAGTAGACTTGCTATTGGTTCCTCTCCCTTGCTTCTGCGAGAAGGTTATGTTGCAACCACTGGCTGAAAGGAATTACCTCTTGTAGGTGAGTCGCACAACGTCCGATAGCACAGTAAAGAGCTTCTTTTTGTATGACACTTGCCGAATCAACCGTTGGTTGCGCTGGAAATGGGCTCGTCAATATAGAAAAACAGGAACAGGCTAACTGTATATTCACCAATTATCTGCTTCAAGGTTGTCTCGAGTAGTGGCGTGACATAAACCTTGTATTGCGATGACAGAGTCATCAAGACGCGTTCACCGCATGGCTAAAAAGATGAGTCTTGTGGCAAGTTGGATCTACATATGGAACGCACTCGCAATTCATACTCCCATTGATCGTTTTCTTTGTCTTCTAGATTGACCCATTCTTCTGGATCAGACATCCAACCCTCGAGGTCTGCCAGGTTCAAGGGGATGAAACGTGTCACGAGAAGCCGGACGGCATCCTCGACAAACTCTTGCGAAAGAGCTGGGCGACTCTCATCAGCACAAGACCACAACTCCCAAAGACAGTCAATACTAGTCTCGGTTTTTGGGCCACCTTTGCGAAACGGCGTCCATCTCGAGAGATTTTCCTTGAACAAGACCATGGCCTGGAGGAGAAAACGCACCGGGAAAACCGCCGTCGGAGCGTCTATGTGGTACGATGAGCAAAGCCAGCCTCAACATGGAAGTAAACTTAGAGACCTTGAATTAGCTCTGGCGGACCATTGGTGGCTTGCACAACTCTATCCCAATAGTAAAGGACGATTTCGTTACCTGTGGGAAGCTGAACAAATTTATCTGGTTTAAGTTGTTGTAGTCTGCGGAAGAATTTCCCAAAAACGCGGACATGACGGGTCAGTCTGTCAACGGACAAAAGGGTGAGACGATCTGCTGGTCCGGATGCTCTCAAGGCAAGGACGAGGTTGATTCGAAGTTCAGACAGTATCTTCAATTGTCCGGTTGAACTCTGGAAAAGTTGCAAGAACTGTATATTCGATAGTCGATTAGTCACGCTCGTGGATTCTCGCATAGACAAAACAAACCCAAGGCTCGAGTTTCGCAAAGCCGCCTTCAGGCTGAGCGAGTCTAGGCCAGAGCCACAGAGCCATTTTTACGAGACACTTATAAATGAAATGAGCCACGATGAGATTGTCAGCGGTGCGCTGATCACTGAGCGATAGCGGCACGAGTGCGGAAATCATTGACGACAGTTTGGAGTAGTAAGCGAACATCACTTCATGCAGTTGATCGATGATCTAATGGAGAATAAGGCTCTGCAGTAGTGATGAAATGAAGAGCGACGTGCATGAACCATTGTTTTCACGCCAGCCAGTAGCTTGACACCGCTGAACTCCTTCAGGACACTGTTGAGAAGTGCGAGACCCCTGCGAAGGGCAAGGGTTGACCGCGGGTCGCCGTTGGGAGTACCACAGAGGACTTCAAGATTTGTGCGAATAACATCCATGATGTCGGCTAGCAGGGAAGGCCTAATCGAGAGATTAACACTGCGAACCCAGTGAGATGACATCAGAGGTACCAGTGCATGGGGTAATCTTGGCGAGCAATTTTCGCAACGATTACTTCATTACACTCCACAATCTTATCACGTCAGTCGTAAATTAAACGAAAGCACATCGGGTGGCGATACTTGCCGTATCATCTTCCTCATCAAAAAAGGTCATACACCGTGACCGAATCCTAACTCGTTGCTCGTCTGATAAAAGTCTGCTTCATGTCAGCAAATAGATCATACATTGAAGCGAAACACGTACTTCCGTGATCTCCAGTGATTCAATGCCTTGTTTTTGAATTGAATAATGCTTTGCTTCCTCACAGGCAGCGGTACTGATCGGGTGGCGGCGATCTCATGTAAACCATCGAAAGTCCCAAAGTAGTCCAACAATTCCTCGACGCGTTTACTCGACGCGCGGACTTCGGCAGGGTTTTGGGACGACGCTTGACTGATGACTCGATATAGCTCTTGAGGATCAACGACTTTTGTAACGTGCTCAAGCTTGGAGGGTTTAGCCATGTTTCTTCAAGTTGCTATCGACAAAGGATCGGATAACTCGACCCTAAGAAGAACGCGGTGCCACTAGAAGTCCGAATTAGGTCACGTTTTAAGGAAGTAAGTAATTAAGAACCAAACAGACTCAAATAACGCGTCTCGAGCACAGTTTACTGGGTTCAAACTTCAATCAGTTTACTTCGTCCTCTATTTGCATGAAACATTACATGGGATCCAATCCACACCATGCCAGAAACTACTAAACGCAGGCTACTACATGATAACGAGCTCGTGGAAGACTCCGAACCCGAAAGGGAGGAAAAAAGGCAACAGATGAGGGAGCAAACAAGGAAGAAGAAACGTTTGCGGCTGGACCCATCATGGGCTGATGTAGAGCAAGATGTTATTGAGTTAACTGATACCGAACTTGATCCTTCCGGTCCATCAGCTACTGTAGGTGGCCAGAGCCAGGTCGACGAACTTAGTGGCGGTGAGCCTTTTTTGACCGCATCTTCAAAACTCTTGGTGCTCATGTCCTCTTAGCTTCCAGCTGTAGTCCACTGACAGAGCTGTCTTCTTCCCAGAAACTTGAAAATGCGGACCATTTTGCGATTCATAGACCTCGACTTTCGCTTGTTGCTGGTGAGGCCTACACTGATCAGCTATTAAATCTCTGATTACTGAAGGGGTATAGTAAGCGCTCCTGATCAACATAGTAATCGCGTCAATGTACCCAATACAACGAACGGGCTCTATAACGCCCAGAATATGTCCGGTATGAACCGCACTTCTACATACCCCACCCCGCCTCCTATTGCGACCCTGGAAGTGCCGCTGTCTAGCGACTCCGAGGGCGATTCCCGCCTGACACTGTCTCGCTTTGCTTTCCGAGCGCCTCTATCCAAACCTAAGATCACCGACCTCGGAGGTTTGTCGTGCTGGGGTAGTACTGTCGTAGCAGACAAACTTCCAGAATCAACCTCTGCTCCGAAAGCTAGACTGAAGCGCTCCAGTATCCATCGCTTCTCCAACGACTTCTCAGATGTGCAACTTGCATCTCTCACAACCTGCGTTAGCTGCAACTTGAAGTGGAACACGACAAAGACTGCAAGCCAAAAAGTGATCCATATCCAAAACTGCGCAAAAAAGAAGTTCCTTTCCGACGAAACAGTTCGCATGCTTATATACAAAGAGACTCAATCATCCTCGGACCAGAACGTTTCTCAACGGAGTGACCAAAAGGCTACAGAAGTCGGCCAAAAGTCGGCCACTTTCCTGGAAACGGTTGTCAATGAAAGCTCCCGGACGAAGAAAGGCAGACGCCCTCAAATCTTAGGGACCGTCAAGTCTCTCCCTGAAACACGCGGTAGTATACTAGGAAGGGCGCGGACCGTCCTTGATACTTCTATGCAGCACGGAGGCCCCGTCGTAGACGCTCAGGTGTCTAATTCCATCCATGAGGGTAGAAGCGATGTTCCCTGCACTCAAGCTTTTGGAACTAGCATGCTTGCTCGTCGAGGAAACTTGTATCCTCGTGCGCAGTCGGGACCAGCGCTGACCCAGGCTTTCGGTGAAAGCGCTCTCGGCCACTTGCAATCTAACTTGGGCCTCGTTGCGCGACATGCTCAAACTTCTGGTCTGTGATATAAGCATAGTGACGGCAGCGTGGATCGGGGGAACGACCTACTTCTAGCGCACTATGATCAGGTCGAGTTCACCCCAATTTGTTCTTTCAGATGCAGGTTCCACTTCAAACTACTTCTATACGCATTTAATTCGACGAACATCCATGATTGTTATTAAATATTCGGTAGACTTGCATCGCAGTCCATCTATGTATCAGCAGCTTCAACCTCATCATCAGAATGTCATGCCAGGTCATTCCCTGTCAGCATCTCTCACCATGACAACGAGCCGAGCCGGGATTGACCAATTTGTGATCAATGAGCGCCTTTCCTACCTCTTTATTCATTTCCGTGGTGCTATTTTGTAGCACAACAATTCTGACTATAATGTTGTACTATCGCCTTCCTCAATATATAACTCACAGCATCCCGACAAACGATAACTGATCGAAACAAGGCGCGAGGGTGGTTTTACGTAATGAGGCAACGAAATTCATGTTGTGGAGAGTCAGTCTCCAATGTTGGCAAGGACTAAAAAGGTTTTTTATCCCACCTACATATAAGTTACTCTCTCCGTTCGAACTTCGTTGCTTGCGTTTGATGAATTATTATGCCTGGACGTCGCTCTCCTGAAGACGACACCACTCTCCTCGAAGATTCCAAGTCCAAAGAATATGACAGCGCCCGGGATGAAAAGGGGAATCAGTCCGAAACACTGGATCAAATCCATATAGAAGATGGCGATTCCGATACAACCTCAACAAATTCTTCGGATGAATTTGACTGGGACGAAGAAGAAGTCGCTAGTCAAGTAGAGAATCCAGAAACTGGCAAAAAAGCGAGGAGGGGCAGGGCCCTTTGGCTCGGCTTCATGAAGCTCGCAAGACCAGTCAGGGCTCTGGTGTTCGGCATTCTTGGTGCTGCATTCTTCATAATTCCGTTGCTGGTAGTGGAGTTGAGGTTCAAAGACAAGGAAAGTGCTCGGCTGCAAGTCCGTGTTTGGTCCCTTTGGTTGTCGATTACCTGGGCAGCCTCCTGCGCAACATATTTGGTTGTGGATGCAATTCCACGCATTGTAATCTACATTATTTTCTTACTTGGTGGCCAAGTCGAGCGTTTGAAGACGCAGATTGAAGTATGTACTGCTCGGACTTCTCTTGGGCAGTCCGACTGAATCCATTGGTGCAGTTAACACTTGCTGTTTCGGCATGGCTAAAACTCGCACTCGGTATTTCATGGGCCTGGATAGCGCTATCTGCGATCACGGCCTTCTACAATCCTCCTGGCACGTACTGGGTTATTATCAACCGTGTGATGCAGGTAAAATGCTCTTCTCGTCTTTATCACATTGACTAAATGTCATTCCATTCAACAGGCTCTCTTTACTGCAAGTATCATCCTGTTTGTGGAAAAATTGTTTTTACGATTTGTCGCCATCAACTTCCACCAACGTGCACTCGCAGATCGTCTCGCGGAGAATCGGACGGGACTGAGGGCACTGGACCATCTATCAAATGCACAACCCGCTCCCGTCAAGAAAGGTCCAAACGTCAAGAAAGGTCGCAAAAATACTTTGAGTTCTTTTGGGACTGCATTTGACCTTTCCGCGTTCCACGGTAAGGGTCACCGCAGAGATGATACAGATGGAACAGCCAGTGGGCAGGTCAGTACAGCTGCTACACCTGTTCTCGAGAAAAACGAACACGAAGCACATCATCATCGGTCGGACAAAAAGCGCCATACTAGACGTGCAGAGATGAAAAGACAGCGCAAGAGGTATATGCCAACTGTTGTTGTCGACCAGCTGACCGGCGCTATTGGGCAAGTTGCGCTTAAGAATTCCAATTTTAACCGAGGTGGCGACTTCTATGCCCTGGATTCTGCACGGAAGCTCGCAAGGAAGCTTTTTCATGCTCTCAGTGTCACCAGTCCTGGACGCTCTCATCTTGTCGTTGAAGGTATGGTAAATCTATGATAAAGAAAAAGGCCTCACATGGTTTCTTGACAGATTTCTACCCTTATTTCCGTTCGACTGCTGAGGCGGTAGGTCACGGCATCTCTATGAGTTCATCCGTCTCACGGTTTCAGTAGCATACTGCTTTTGCTATTTTTGATAAAGACGGCAATGGCGACATCAGTAAGCGAGAAATGAGGGAAGCTGTACAGAGGATTTATCGAGAGCGTAAGGCCCTGACTGCCAGTCTGAAAGTGAGTTCATGTTTTCATTTGAGAAATACTGCTCATTGCTTCATGTAGGACGTTGGTTCAGCCGTGGCGAAGCTAGATGCAGTCCTTGTCTGCGTTGCAATGCTCGGGATTCTCTTTACATGTCTCCTTATTTTTAACAGGAGCGACACGCTAGCCTCGCTTGTTCCTCTTGCAACAATCATTCTTGGATTTTCGTTCATCTTTGGACACTCTGCGCAGACGCTGTTTGAGTCGGTAAGCTGGAGCAATTCGCTCGTCTATCATGCATGTCAAGTTCACTTGTGCTTAAACAGATGATCTTCATATTTTCTACACATGTCTTCGATGTCGGCGATTTGGTTATGATTGACGACCAGGCGAGGAGTTTTTCTTACGCGAACAACTTGCATCGAACTAACGAGTATCCCTTCAGTACCTCATTGTCAAAGAATTTGGTCTATTTTCCACTACTTTTCGTCGAGTCGATGGCCAAGAAATCATCGCACCGAATTCACTGCTGTCAAGCACAAAGCTTGTCCATAATTTGCGGCGGTCAAACAGCATGTGGGAGAGCACGACACTAATGATAGCATACAACACACCTCTCGAGCTCGTTGAGCAGCTCAAGGCACGCATTCAAGCCTACATCACAGCAAATAACAGGGAATGGAGCGGATCTGCGGTGAACATCGACAAAATGGAGTTCCAGAACGCGATTCATCTGACGGTGGGCGTTGAACGTAAGTGTCTGCGTACCAGCTCGACTATGGGGTCTGATACCTGCTTCAGATCGCCCGAACTGGCAGGACTGGGGAGGACGCTGGACGCGGAGAACTGCATTTATGAAACATCTAAAGAGCATTTTGGAGGATCTGGATCTCAAGTATACGATGCCCGTACAGCCTGTGCTACTACCCAATTCTCCACGCCCGACGAGCGGATTCCGCAGTGTGGGTGTGGAGGTGAACACCCGTGGTGGCGAAGAGAATCTCACTGCATGGAAGTAAGATAGGATTGTGAAGTTGCATTGCGCTGTAGTCCCTTGTACTCTATATCTCAAATCTTTTTATAGTTTAGCGAACTGGAACAGACTTAGAGATCTAGCTAGAATCCTGTTGAAGGGTGGTAATATGGCTACAGTTAGATATAAACAAGTCAGTACCGCAATAGGATAAACCAATAATTCTAAAGGTCGACGTGTTGAAAGTCGGGAATCGACAAATTCGAAAAAACAAGCTCGAGACAGAACCATGCTAAGTTGGATAGCTATATGAGGGCCAGTGCAGATGATGATGAAATCACAAATATTATCATGCTTTCGGGCTCAAGGCTCTGTCTGCCAAGCCTGCGACCTCGATGACGCCGCCTACAAGGTGCAAGCTGCCCGTGACGAGCACGCTAACGTTGAGTGTCTTGCGCGCTTCTTCCACAGCGTCCTCAATAGACGGCAGAACGTGCACTGTGCCAGAGTATGTTAGGACAAGCTTGTTCCAGGCTGCCTCAATCTCTCTCTGAGTCTTGAGATTGAGGTTGTCAGTTGTAGATATTGCGGCGGAGGTAAGGTCTGTCGGATGTACATATAAGCTTGCATTTAATACGAGTGACAGCACTTACCGCCTTTGAAATTCCCGCTGGCATAGGTCACATTACTACAGAAAATGACCTTGGCGAAAAAGTCTTCCTTCTTCTCCAGGCTGCCATGGATCGCCAGTTGCTCCTCTACTTTTTCCAAGATGGCTGTCAGGAAAGCATCTCCTGAACGTCCACTGGTGCAATTGAAGATTAGCACTCGGGGTGGGTGATCGTCAGAAACGGGGGAACTGGAATCTGATATCAACGGGATGACACTGAAACCAATGCAGATAGCAAGCGTACACGGGAAGCCCGACTGCTGGGCTTACAAACCATTCCAGACAGCACGCAAGGCTCTCTTGTGTATGTGCCCCATCGAGGAACCATGTCATAGCCTCAAGCTTCGAATCAGGTATTGTCTGGCAACGGCCAGGCCAGTGAGCATTTTTGAGGCCGTCCATAAAAGATGTAGGGAGGAATCTCAATGGTTCTATCTCTGATCCGCTCCATGTTGCACTAGCAGTACCACTGGTGTTGGGATCCGAAATAGGAGAGTATGACTGATCCTTGATGCTGAGGAATGTATGCACCAATTGTACCGCGAGACCCGCGTTCGATCTCTGGTGAGCACCTGCAAGACCTGTCACAACGAGTTAATTGTGTTGATAATCGGCAAGATATATATAAAAAACTTGCCTAATGGGATAGTGGAAGGGAGAGCGTCAATAACTGTGAACTGAGATGCCTGCGGTGCAAACACGTATGAGCTACAGGTAGGTGAAAGACTTAAAGAGGGTGCAAATTACCCTCTGCTCTACTGCACAAACACCAAGCTCCAATATGCCTTCCTCAGGTTGTTGAACAGTAAGGGCCGGAACCCCTTCCTATTCTATCAGTCAAATACTTATGACGTAGACCTGAAAAAGAAACGCGCCTTGTATATTCCACCCTTCTGATTTGCAATCTGACTGAGCTTTTCCCCAAGAAGCCTTGTGTGGTCATACCCGAGGGCGGTAACGCCTGTAACAACTGGCTTGGGGACGATATTTGTGCTGTCAGAGCGTCCACCAATGCCTACCTCAAGAATTGTCGCATCAACCTGAAGATTAAATTAGACAGATAAATGGTCAGGATTGCTGGCGCACCTTGAGTTGGTAGAAAGTATAAAAGGCCATGAGCGTTAGGTAGCGAAAGTAGTTTGGCATGAAGGGTGTGGTGGCAGCTTCGCACTGAACGGGTTGTTTGTCTAGTACGGATGACTATTACTGCAAGAAACGGAAACAAAATACCTTCGTATTCTGGAGCAGATTCCACACTTCGAAAAAGTTACGAGCAAACTCCTCCTCCGAAAGTGGCTCGCCATTTATGCGAATACGCTCACGGACAGCGACCAGGTGAGGAGAGGTATATAGGCCTGTGTTACTTGTCAAGGGAAGCTCTCGTAAAGCCGGGAAAGTAAGGCACACCAGTTTTCCAGCCTGGCCTAGCTGCCCGCAATATTGAATCTGTGAATGCGCTTGTAGAGCCTTTTCCTTTTGTTCCCGTGATATGTATGACATTCAAATTATTTAACTGAGATGGCTGTAATGGTACTTCTTCATAAATAAGACAGTAAGGTTGGCATATGACGTACCTTAAGGCCCACCCTACGTAGATAATCAATCATTTCAGGTATAGCATTAGGATTGAGCTTCGATCCTGCAGCACGCACGGCCTCCAGGATAGCAGCATTAGTTTGAAGGCTGTTCAGTGCATCTATGGCGTCCCTGTAAGTCCGAGTTGGAATGGGTGTGGTAGACATCCTGCGTCCGTGAAAACGAAAGAGTTTTAGTTTCTTGTTATGAATAACAATAGTGAAACGATAAGGAATGCGCATCAGCGGACATGAAAAGATAGTGGCACAAGATCTGTGGCAGTGGGCACTGTGGGTAGGTAGTCACTCAGACATCACATGACCGGGTACGCGTGATAAATATAGAACAACACCTCCTGAAACACAAACCAATACCGTATGTACCAACAACCACCATGGACAAGTTTGTAACTGTACTCAAGCCTGCGCGCTCCTCTCTCAAGGAGAAGAAGAAATGTACAAACTCATCACGATTTACCCCATACCCTACTTCAAAACCAAAGATCGATATCCTCCCAAATAAAATGTCGAAGTCAAACTACCCAGAGGCTGTGGCACAAGATAAGGCGCGCTTGCGCCAGTACGTATCTGTTAAATATTCTTGCATTTTTACTGACAGTAGCACCCGATAGACTCATGGCCCCTCTCAAAAAAGACGGTACCTCCAAACCCTCTGCTGGGGAAATCACGAGGCATCTACTGAACACTCTTGCCGACGAGTCAAATCCAATTACTCATTCTAATATATATGAACGTTCAGGTGCGTTTACATCCAACCCCTCTTCTGCTTTCGCTTTTCATTAATAAATTGTCTCCAGATTATGTTGTTTCGGCCGCATCAGGCCACCAGCGCTCCGACAGACGTGGTTGCGGGCACAACCGGGGGTACATTGACGACCGCTCTGAGAAGCTAGAAGTTCAGAAGCATGAGAATGCAAGCGACTTATACCCAGTAAAAAGAGACGAAACAGAAGGGAAAAGGGGTGTGCTGAGTGGTGTACGTGTCTATATCGGTGGCTACCTTGCGGGAACAACCGACATCGAGATGAAGCGGATAGTTTCTGGCGCTGGCGGTGTCACGTTGTAAGCGCAGTCTCTCTTGTGATCTCCCAAGTCTTAATCTCGCATTAATCGTTCACAGGCTTTCCCCTAGCGGCGCTACGCATATTCTCACGTCACAACAACTCTCAGGTTCAAAGACTCATAAACACCTCGTGTCAAAGCGCGTACCTGCACATGTAGTGCGGCCTGAGTGGGTATTAGAGAGTGTGAGGGCAGGCCGCAGAATGCGCGAGTGGGAGTTTACGGCCATTAAGCCCGGGAACACTATGGATTTGGAAAAGATGTTCGGGAAGGGGCTGTGACTGGGAATATTTTCAAGGCTGGTCCTCACTGTGTGCTGATCTAGAGAATGTACCGATACCAATGATTTATTGTTATTTTTATTCCAATTGCTATCTAACGCCAATAAAGATATAGATATACAAAGATAATAAACACTACAAGCCTACGTAGTAATCCTGAATGCAGTGATCAAAAATAGATCTACGTAGCTGAATTGTTTTTCTACTGACACCACCTGAACGTAGGCAAGCATCAGGTCATTGATTCGATTTGTCTCAATGAATTTCGGTCCTTGTCGATTAGTGGTTAAATCATCGCATTGTGGAAACACAATTCTGCGAAGCCGGAAGTTCGAATCCTCCCTGGGACATACCACAGACATTCTTTTTTCCTTTTCATTTTAAATACCCCCAAGATGCATGTGCTATATGCTCCATCACCTTGCGACAAGCGGCCTTGATTACATGTAAGATGAGCACTTCAAGCCTCACTCCCCGTAAAAGCATAGCTCCCTAAGCTACCTGTCCCACTCCCGAACTCGCTTCCAAAATCAAATTCACTTCCCTCGTCACCCTGACTGCTTTCTGCATCACTTCTCTCTTTATCTCCATCACCCACGTTTTCGATTTCAGCCCCACCCAACGTGGAACGCCTAAGGTTTCCGCCTTCGCTCTCCAACCTGTATCGATCTGCACTCCTCACTTCCTCCGCGCATCGCAGACATGTCCATCCGCATGAGCCATCATCTGCGGCGCGGAGCATGCGCTCAGCAAGACAAGTATAACAATACACATGTCCACAAGAAGCAAGATACGGCGTTGTTATTGGATATGGAGGTTCTCCATCTCCCTCAGAATTATTATCGCCAGCATCACTGTTTGATGATGCAGGGAATGCCGGAGTGTACGATGCCAGCGCGCCAGCAGCATCACCAAGGTTCACATTTAGGGAAGCATTCTCAGCACAAATTGCGCACTGGTCTGACGGGAGGGAATAATACTTTCCGCGTTTTGGTGCGCGTATCTTTTGTGTAGGGGAGGGAGTAGGGAAAATGGATGAAAAGGTTGATGTGAGCCGTCGTGCCACGGAGCGAGGATTGATGAGCGGGAGGAGGAAAAGGAGAAATTCCTATGGCAGAATGAGTCTCCGATGAAAGCAAAGAAAGGAGAGCGTACTGTAAATGCGTGCCAGACCATCTGGCGATTCATAAATTCATAACTAACATCACGTTTGATGAGAGCTTGTGAAGGTTCAAGCCTCATCGCTAGGAATCTATCAATAATTGTTCTGTACCTGCAATAAGCCATGTCAAAAATTCCCCAACAATGACACGCACTGTGAGAACGTACCTCCCATTCCATAAAAATGCAACGAAGTTGAGCAGACTGAATGCACCATGTGCGGTCTCGAGACTCGTCAAGGCAGCCCAAGCGCGGCGACGGATATCAGAGGCAGGGGCATCTGGCCATGCATGGGAAAGCGCACGTGCATGGAGTCGGTTGCGGAAATAGGGCACGAGGATAGTGAGAGCACCATGGATAATTAGTAGTCGTCGTGAGGGCCTGGCTGCAGTATATCATTCAGACGTTGAATATTTGCAAGAGATATGTTCACTCACAGTTCAAGCCGGAGCTTGGAATGGAATACCGCAGGCCCTGCAGCATTGCGCCATAGCTTGCACCGGAACTCCAGACAGAGAAACGATAAAGTACAAGCTGGACGAGCAGTGCTAGCTCAGGCTCAAACCGTGATTTCATAGATGCCTGTTCCCGCCTCAGTATATAACATACTGACACGTAGAAAGCGTACGTTGACGGTCGCAAGGGCCTTCGAAACCGGTTCTATGAGTATGTGAACAAGTTCAGCATCGAGGAGCTCGGCATCTAGTTGTCCGACGCGAATAATGCGAGGGTTCGGTCGAGGAAACGTTGGGGACGCAAGAACATCTCGTATGGAGTGAAGGCGGGGCTGGGCAGCGTCCCATGCTTGCTGCCATACACGGCTGCTCATAGCGCTCATCGATGATTGAAGCGGGGATACTAAGTGGGAGTAGGCACGTGATTACATATTGAATTGACTCGATAGATACTAGATTTGATCTAATAACTAACGGCGAACGTCGACGATGGCAGAACAACTACAGCAGTTAATACTGGATACTCTTGATACCCAATCGACTTTACCAGATTCCCGTGCACTAAAAATCCCTGGCCAATCCAGCCCAGCGTCCAGTCATGATGCACAGATCACCATTCTCGGTGCCCTGAACTCGCTACTCAGCCGGGAGGCTAGTTTTTCCTTTCCTTTCTCTCATGATCTTGTATTGAGTGAACATGCAGATGATAACGTATGAAACACATGAAGTTTCATCGCATGTGCTTACGCCCGAGGGCGTCCAGATCGTGCGTGAGGGCTCGCATGAGGCTCGTGTCTGGGCCGCCCTCCCCGAACGTGGTAGTGCCCCACTCAGCGCGCAGGATCTCAAGAGAGCAGTAGGAGATGAGGCTGCGAAAGTTGGACAGGGACGCGCGTTTAAGAGTGGATGGATCGCGAAGGAGGGGAATGGTTTCGTCAAAGCCGTGCGTATTTCGTGCTGATATTTTTATGACTGCGATTAATGAGCCGGTAGGTTTCCAATATTACAGATACGACACAGACAGAGCTGCGCGAGTTAGAGTCGTCAGGGACACTGGTGGCCGGTGAAAAAGCGCTCGCTGAATTACGAAAACGCAAGCTTATCATACAAAGGTTCTACTTATTCCTCCAACGTAAATTATCAAGTCTGACTGTTGCAAAGAAAGGGCCAATGGTTCACCGTGCATAAGGGCGCAAATTTTAGTACTTCGATTGCAAAACCGGAGACCGATTTGACCGTTGATATGCTCACTTCGTGAGTTTAGTGTTCTAATGCAGCAGCGTTGAAACTCATACTGCTCTAACCCTAGCGGCTCTTGGAAAAAATCCACATTCAAAAAATATAACTTTGACGCAGACGGAATACCCACATCAGGCGGCGCTCTCCACCCTATCCTTAAAGTCCGCGAGGAGATCCGTAGCATTTTCTTAGAAATGGGGTGCGTGATCATCTCATAGTGCAATTATTGCAGAATTCTGAGACACCTTGGTTGCGGATATTACAGTTTTGAAGAAATGCCCACAGGCACTTTCGTTGAATCCGGATTCTGGTGCTTCGATGCACTTTTTGTTCCCCAGCTACATCCTGCACGCGAACTCCAAGATACCTTCTATCTCTCTGGTATGTGCTTGCCTCCCTTGCCTTTGTCAACTTCTCGAAATTTTATAGATCCCTCGACATCCCTCCCTCCGCCATCCGATTACTACGAACGCGTCGCACGTGTGCATGAGCACGGTGGGTATGATAGTATCGGTTACCGCACGCCCTGGTCACACGAGGAATCGCATAAGCTCCTCTTGCGTACGCACACGACTGCCTCGTCCGCTGCCATGCTATACAAACTCGCAGCCAAGTGTCGAGGCGAAAATATCGACGGTGACCTGTCTGCGAAATCGCAACCTGGAGCTGCAAATCTGAGTGATGATGGGTTCAGACCAGCAAAACTCTTCAGCATTGACCGCGTGTTCCGTAATGAGACAATGGATGCTACTCATCTTGCAGAATTCCACCAAGTTGAGGGTGTTGTTGCAGATCGGAATCTAACACTTGCAGATTTGATTGGTGCGTTGCGGATCCTTCCTCTATCCATTTTTCCTCCATATGGACATTTGCTAATAACCTTGCATCTGCACAGGTTTCATGCGGACTTTCTTCCGGAAGATGGGAATGAAGAATCTGAGGTTCAAACCTGCGTATAACCCGTACACGGAGGTGTGTCTTGACCCTCCTCTCCATTTCAGGTACTAATTGAAACACGATAGCCTTCTCTTGAGATCTTCGCTTGGCACCCGCTCCTTGAAAAATGGGTCGAGATTGGGAACAGTGGCATGTTCCGCCCTGAAATGCTTGCACCTATGGGATTCCCGCCTGATGTGCGTGTGCACGGATGGGGAATCGGGCTCGAACGACCAACTATGATTCGGTGAGTAGTCTTTCCTTCGCCTAGCTGTATTGTCCCACTCCTTCCTGCATTCTATTATCGGGGCGTGATACTGAAGCTCTTGACACAGGTATGGTGTTAACAACATCAGAACGCTTGTCGGGCACAAGACGTCCATCGAGAATGTGGAGAACTCGCCAGCCGTCATGTTCTAGATGCGTTTGAAGGGGTGTACGCCGATTTAGAAGATACCGACAATGTATCGTATAATTTTAAGTGCACAGTTAAAGAGTGTCACACAAAATAAAATAAACTGAGGCAATAATAATTTTTGCAAACAATACCAGTGCAGCTCAGAACAGCACCGTAAGGTAAGCTCAGAATGAGCCAATGGTTCATAATTATTAACGACTAGTTATACAGAAGCATATGGCATGCACCGTCTGCATCGGGCATTGCCCCAAGACAATAAATAGGATTGACAAAGCTTAGAATGAGAATACAGCAGCATTCTTCCTCGAGCCGAACATGTACACGAGCGCTTGGGACATGAACAGCCCAACCGTGATACCGATCGTGACGGCTATCATGGCACTTCCAATGTCCACACCGCTTCCATCTGCTGTGATGCCTCCCGCCTGCGACAGACCCGACTACAAAACGTTCGTCATCAGCAAGCCCCAAGAAACACAGTAAGAGATAGCACCCACTGGTACAAGGAACAGTACACCCGTAACCATACTCGTAAACGCCGTCCCGCCCATCTTCCTCGAATAAACATTCCCTAGCAATCCCACAGTGAAAGCCCCGATAGCGCTCACGATATCGCTCCGATTGAAGATATAGTGATTAGCGACTTTGTTGCTCGCGTAACTCGCGCACGAGATGACCACCATCACTGGAAGTTGTCTGCTCCGCCACGGTTGCAGATTCGCGAGGGACGATAGGATACTGAACAATGGGACAATGACGAACTGCGTCCAGAAGGGGAAGGGCTGGAGGTACCAGCCAAAGTGTTTTGGGCGGTAACATCCATCGATGATGTCTGTCTGCATCACGTTCGTATTGTTCGTGAAGGTGAAAGTACCGTAGACGGGTCCTAACCCCGAGGAGAGCGATGAGTTGCCACTTGTGGAGTTGTCCGCTGCGAACGTGCCGACGATGGTGGCGCTCGTGGAGATGTCGGCGGCAAGTGTGGTGAGGTGGTGTCGTGCAGTTGGATCGAACAGGAGGTATAGATCTGACCCGATCTGCAGACCGAAACCCAAGAAAAGCGTATAGATAAGGGCATACACCATTTTAACGCTACCGCAGACGATATTTTTAGAGGCCAGCTCCAAGGAACTACTCACTGGAAATAGGTCAGCGAGAGAAATGACTCTAGAAGAAGTACTTACGGATCAAATAACCGGGAAGAATACCGATGATTGCAGAGGACGAGACAGCCGTATAACAGAAGATCTCGCTTCTGATACTACTGAGCCCTCGTGCCGTGAAGGACACCAACATCGCTGTTGTAATCCTAGCAGACCATAAATATCACGATAAAAGTGCGAACATCGAGAGATCTTACTCAAAGACGTTCGCATACATAGCGCTCTTCGCAGCAACCCTGAGTTGTAGGAAACACAACACAAAAGCGCCACAGCCGGCGATCCACATATCGATAAACGAGCCTCCAAACGCCAGCGGACAGATTAAGACAGATAACCAGAAACTCAGGATACACCTGAACCACCACGGGTACAGCGGTTTCGCCAACAACAGCTCGTCAAGTTGCTCCGTCGCCTTTCGCGCACTGATTTCGTCGTGGACCACAGCGCGATAAATGATGTGGACCTTGTGTAGGCTGCCCAATGAAAGACCTCCGCCGGACTTGATGAAGTGGGTTTCCGAAGTCATTGTGTCGTTGTCGCCGAAGGAACAGATGATGACGCTCGGTAGATGGATGAACTCGGCGTCGACTTCGAGGATGCGCGCTGCTGCAAGAAGTTGGGATTCGATACGGTGAGAAGGCGCACCGAAGGTCATCAACGCTTTTGCAAGCTTGAGTAGGAAGTTGTGGCGATGGATGATGGCTGGAACCCTGCAATGAGCTCCAGCTGCGTGGGCAGAAAAGAAGACTTACAAGTAACGTTAAACTCGATCTTGATCTTTTGCTTCTCCTTTCTACGCTTGCGATAGTCCATCTGCCTCAGTGCCGTCCGCTTTTCGTCGTCATAGTCATCAAGACACCTCTTTCTCACACCAGTAATAGTAGGGTCATCCGGGTCCAGCAGCTGCGAGTACTGGGAATTATCCGTATTCGATCTTCGCATAGGTGCACCGCCCATTTCTTCGTCGTACTCATCGTGAAGCTGAGCAAAACGACGGCGTTGGAAAGGGACGTTCTCGCCCTCGGCATCAACTCCATACAGGTCGATGAGGTTAGAGAACAGGCCACGTCTTCTTCCGTCCGTGTCGTTGGCGTCGCAATGATCAAAGTCATTGTCATCGTCCGCGTCCTTGTCGTCATCATCCAGCCTGACATCGTCGTACTCCTTATACTTATCTTTGCCGTTCGACGTCTGCGCCTCGATATCTGTTAAAGTCCCCTCACTATTCCGAAAGTCAACATGCCGCTCATCATCGTTCCACATGTACACATTTCGCGGTGGAGGGATATCATAGGGGTGCTGATAGGACGACATTGAGTATCTGGAGTCCTCGCCTTCGTATAGCGTAGACTCTGAATCATTGTGAGCACGACCACGAAACCTTTGGTCTGGAGCAACTGGAGCCTCCGACGCGTAACCTGGGAGCGTCGGTCGCCTGCTTCGTGACGCTCGGAGATGGGCCTGAGCTGAGAAGGGATCTGTGAAGTCTGGTACTGACGCACGAGGCCCCCTGGTCGGAGGTCTTATAGATTCAGGGGTTTGGGGTTCAGGAATTTGGGACTCAGGAAAAATATGCTCAACAAAGCGCGGACTCGGGTTGGATGAAGGAGGCCTTGGAATACGTGAAATGTGACTAGTGCTGATAGAGGGTCGCGCTTGTCGCTGCTGCTGTTCGAAAGAAGAATTTAGCGATTGCCTTTGTGCTTGGCGTCGCTGGAGAGTGTTTGTAGAGGACAGTGGTGGGTGACGGCCTGAGTCTCCATTGAGATATGGGTTACTATGTGACATGACTTGCTGGATAACAACGAAAGTCCAGCTTTCGAGGCAAGAACTGCGAAAAAGCTGATAGCGTCACTGAGGAGGATGCCGATGAAGGCGTATGGTTCGGTGGGGTGGTAGGAGAGAAAGGTAGACGGTCGATATAGGCTCGAACTGGAACATACGAAGGAAAGTAGTATCTGGGTCATTTCAATTTAGACCAATAGAGTCACCAAGAGTGAAACAGTGTCCAGCCAAATTCTAAATTGAGCCGATAGCATATTGAACAGAAGTACGGACGATACGAATAGTTGGGTGTGGGCAGTGATTTCGTGCATAAGTCGCCAAGGTGATCTGTAGGCCAAAGGTGCTCTCGTCAAATGAGTATGCAGGAGATACACTTACGTCCCTCAAATAACTACACAAAGCACGGGGACTCGTCACGATCAAGTCCATGACTTGCTATTGGATGGGTAGGTCACAGATTTGCGCACATAATGCTGAGGCTCATTTCTTAGATCAACTTGTCACTGACGGGACGCAATCAGCGCTGCCTTTAAGTGGATAGCATCTAGCTTACCACATCTCGGATATTTAGCTCCACAATTGAAATGTTCACTAAGAGTGCCCAGTATCAGCGTCATCAAGAACCGTCACGTATTCGCAGTTGAACCTTAAACAGTATGCTCCTCCCACTCATGCACTGTGATACCCATAATGCCCTCCTCTGCGCCCTCGAACTTCCTGAAACCCAATCGGGAATAAAACGCAGCCGCCTCTGTATTCTTTGGATCCATGCCCAACCAAACGCTCTTTACATCATTTTCTTTCAAATTCTCCATCGCGCGTGCGATCAACTTCCGCCCCCATCCCTGCCGCTGATGGCTTGGCAGAATATCGATGTGCAGATGGGCAGGTGCGAACGCCATCATTGCATCGCTTGCTCTTGGGAAGGTGATTATGGTGTTGATATAAGCTTTATCTGCAGGCGTGAGGGCTGCGTCAGAGTCTTGCAGCAGGGGTGTATAACGGGCTCTGAGCGAGGGCCACCAGCCCGCTTCTGCACTCTCCTCGAATTTGCGGGTGTCGAAGGCGCCGAGAGTGTACCCTACGACTTCTCCATCATTTTCAAGTACAAAGCCCCATGTTGATTCAAGGCTGAGGTAGGGGAGAGCGTAGATAAGGCCTGGGAGGGCAGGATGGGAATGCAAGTGCTCGGATGATGTGCCCGCGTTTGCGGTGAGCAAGCAAATGTTGGAGAGGGCAGACAGGTCAGCTTTTGTGGCTGGTCGGATGATGGGGGCCATGATGATGGAGGTAGAACCTGAGGAAGGGGCATGACTTGAGCGCTGGAAATCACAAGGTGTGTCGTGTGATATTAGTGCATGGGTGACTCATATGGGTGCATCACCGAGGCGATGCTAAAAGAAGTCTATGGAGATGGGCTGGAAGCTCAAAGCTGAGGGTAGACCTTTACTTGATTTTTGGGAGAGGGCTGCTGCAACTACGACCGTTGGCAGACAAGTTCACAAGCCCCCCACGCCAATGATATTGATGTCGATCTGTTGAACCCGATGAGGTTAACATGACATTATATAATATTGTAACCCCGCATGTAACCCCGCAGTAAATTGGGGTGCATGGTGCCGAATTGTGATTGGTTGCGGGCCGAATAAAGAATAGTCTAGGCCGAGGGGCCAGCCCAAATCATGCGAGTTTATAACTAGGGCACTTTCGACTTTTTTCCCTTACCGCCTCTAGTCTCGTGTCTTATCATCTTGGATTCTCGAGTACAACATCTAGACTATTCTATACGATGCTCTCGTCAGGGTATGTCGAGCAGCAGTCTTACGCCCAACAACAAGCGACTATGGCTATGAATACACTACTACCCACACCGCCCTCCTCACCACCACGGGTCGGATTACATCCTGTCGAATCGACAATTACGCTTCTCGAGAATTTAGTCGCGTTCTATCATCAGGAACGGATGTGGGTGTATCGCACACGTGCACAACTAGAGATGACACTACAAGAACGAGACGTTAGCACAGTAGCAACGGTAGATGAAGAAGGAGAGATGGAGAAGGAGGAACCAGACTCTACTGAAGAAACATCTGAAACAAGCAAGTGGGTGAAGAGAAAGAAGGCGTTTGGATTAAAGCTAGAGGGAATTGCAACGACGAGAGGAATGCCTAGAGGTGGAATCGTGAAACAGCGTGCACCACCACCGATGTTACCGGCGTTTGCTCACAGCAACCAGACTGGAGGACAACCTGTACTTGGATCTAGTGGAAGGGAGCCTGGAGTGGAAATCTTAGAGATGTTTGAGAGGATGATGCAAGCTAGGATGGAGAGCTGCGAGCGGGTTACTAGGATGGTTAGAAATGCCAGTGGAGCTGGTTCACCAGGGTGCTCACCGCCTAACGGTCCGGTTTACGGTCAAAGTAGTTTCTTTATAGGTGCTTAGCTAAGGGCTTAGCTGATGGTGTTGGTTGTTTTTATTTATTTATTATTGATGTAATCCCTCCTTCGTCTCATACCATGTCTAATCGTTATGCTCCACTCCCTAATCCACGTACGGACCCAGATTCAGCAGAACTAGAAGCTGCTTTCGACGATCAAGACGACGACGATGACCACAGCGGTTATGACCTAGATGAATCGAGTCCTCTGACTTATCCAAATCCTTCGAATTCTTCATCTTATAATTTCGAGTCTCCGATTTGCGACTACGACCAACCTCCTCCTGGTTCTCCCCCGCAACCATCTTCTCATGCTGTACCCAATGAATTTGGAAATTCCAATGGCATAATACCTGTCTTTACACTAGACTCTTTGCCCCCGCCCCCAACAGGGCCATGGTGGAAGCGAACCGCAACTACTATCCTACCATCCCATTATGTCAACAGATGGGGGTTCACTTCTGAAGCTAGCTCTCGTACTCCCATTGGAGGAGGCACCAGAAATGACGGTGTATTCAGCAACGTAGCTGCCAAACCATCGCAAGGCGTACGTGTTCAGGAAGGTAACCATCAATCAATCATTTATCAAAGAACGTATTGACTCTTTCTCAGGAGACAACGTATACCTCGTTCCAGAAGAATCTTCCAACACAGCTCCCCCAACTTACGCAGCAGCTCAAGCTGACGCTGCTCCTCCTTACCACACTCATTCAATCTTCCTTCCCTCTTCCGTTCATGCATCCCTCACTCTCTCCCAAGGCTGTGTCGTCGTAGATGGCCTTCCCACAGGCACCCTTTTCTCCTTCCTGTGGAACGCCCTTATCAGCACTACCTTTCAATTCGTCGGCTTCGTTCTCACATGGGTCATGCACACAACCCACGCCGCTCGCTACGGCAGCAGGGCAGGTCTCGGAGTCACTTTAATCCAATGGGGCTTTGGCCTCCGCGCGCGATTAGACGACACAAATGGTACACCTCTGGGCTCTGACCCAGCCGATGCCTGGCCCACATTCGCAAGCGCCCAAGACGCCAACGAGTGGTTGGACGCCAACCTCGACCGTCTTAACAACACCACACTAGCTTCTACCGACCACATATCTTCCTGGTCCAACTCCGGAGAAGGAGAAGATGGGAACAATGGATTCCTCACAAACGCAGCAGCAAGTGAATGGCTTTCCTTCTTCCTCATGACAGCCGGCTGGTTCCTCCTTCTCACAAGCGTTTTCGGTTTCTGGCGCGTTAAGCGCTGGGAACGCGGCATCATCTCCTCCTCTTCCAATTCTACCGCGTCACAGCCAACAGCAGACGATGAGACAAGGAGGCAATCACTCTTTGAGCGTCTCGGAATGTTCCGTGTTCCTTCACGAACAGGATCTTCGGGTGCAGACGGATTGGAACGGGTGCCTTCCCATATTGGTGATGATATGGTTGGCAGAGATACAACGTTGGAAATGCAATCGCTCGTTCCAACCGATCCAGACCATGCACGTCGGATCAGGCGAGCAATTGAGCGCGAACGCAGGCTGTGCGAAGACTTGCGCGCTGCAGGCCTCTTGTAAAGTCGTTCGAGCTTCAGACTTCAAGGAGCGAATGTACCGTGTATTATGCTTTTCATCGACAGACGTGTTATCTATTTTTCTAGGATTAAAACGATAATGGTCACAATTGTTCATACAGTCGTATTTATTGCAAATCTGTTTCTTGGCGTCTTTTCGTCTCTCGAGATTAGATTTCATTTCAAGTACATCCTATATCCTTCTGCGCAATTTATTTTCCAGTCGTCAACTATGACCGCTTCAGGAACACTTCCATGTTGAATTCTAGGGCTGAGCAAGGGTATGTGATCTCGAACTTTTCGAGTACGGTGGGGTGTAACACGCCCAGCGTGCCGATCACGATGTCTCGGTCTTGATTGATGTGAAGCGTGTTCTTGAGCTCATCAGCAAGCTCACCTGTTTTTGAGGTCTTTGAGGGTGGCGGGCGGTAATAAATTGTCGCTGCGCGTCCAGGGAAGTACGCAGGATCTAAAACACATTAGCACTACGTCACGCAAAAAAAGAGCCAAAACATACCATCCCCCTCCTTGATGTAATATCCCACATCCTTCCCATCTCCCCTCCCAACCCTCGGAACTTCCAACATCTTCATAGCCCTATCCAACAACCCATGCACGACCTCAAACCCCGCACTCCTCGAACACCACACCGCACCGGCATGTCTCTCATTTCGAGCTTGTCTCTCCCGGGATGTATCTTTGAACACAACATCGCTGAGCTCGAAAACACGGACTGGGAGTGCATGAGAGCGGTTCTCGCGAATGGTTTTAAGGAGCCCTGGTAGGAGGGATGTGCGGACTACTTGGAATTCGAGGGTTTTGGGATTGGCAATTTTTACTGCTAGGGAGCCGGGGTCGGGGCGGTTCATGAAGGAAAAGTTTTCTTCGTGTGAGCACTATCGGATTTTGTTCAGTGTGTTTTAAGTGCGCTAAGGTGGAGGAGGGGAAGGGAGGGAGGGAAGAGACATACGAGAATGAAAGGTAACGCTTCAACCCATCCTGCCATCGCCCATTCCCTCCGGATGACATCCGCGAGCTTGCTGATCGGTAAAGGCTGTGCGACTGTGCTGGTCTGGGGGAAGATATCTGGGAGGTTGTTGAACCCGTACGCGACTGCTGCGTCTTCCATTATGTCGACCTCGTGGAAGATGTCCGGACGCGTGCATGGAAGTGAGACGATTAGAGCATCGGGGTCATCGGGTGAGAGGGTGGGTGAGAGGGTCATGCGCGTTAAAAGGGACTGGATTGTGGAGGGCGTTAGGGAAAGAGAGGTGCAGGAGTTGATATACGAGGCGCGTGCAGTCACTGTACGTGGCGTGATATCAGGAGATATGCGCGTCGAACCGTCAGGAAAGACGATCTTGCAAGGCTCGATCCTAACAACAGATCCTCAGCTCCCCGAATCAAACTACAGGCCCAAAACGACGCACGTGAAAGGCTCAGCACAATACTCCGAAAACATACTCGCAACCATATTGATCACGATCTGCAACTTTGTATCATCCGTGGCAGTTGTATCAATGAATACATTCTTGGTCTCCAACGTGATCTTACTGTGCTCCGAATTGATGATGGGGGGCATACTCAACACGTGGTCCTTTGCATCATAAATGATTGGGTAGACATCAGAATCTCGGATGATGTGCAAGTACCGGGAGAGGTGTTTGTCCGACTCGTAAATCTGCATGAGCTCTGCGGCGGTGTGCGCTGTTTCCCGACCGAGAGGCGCGAAAGAGATGTTAGTGGGTGTACGGGCTTCGTATCGGAACGGAGGGGTGAGGGTGTCGAGGTCATGTGTTCCGATGGCAACGAGGCTTCGCCTGCGCCCGATGTTTTGGTGTAGTTTGTCTTGGAGGTCAATGAAGGACGCGTAGCTCATGGGCGTAAATTTGATGTTGCGAAGCACTGCACACGCGAAGAAAGGACGGATGCGTTGGGTCTGGGAGTGGTAATGTTTATTAATGCGGACAATGTGAGGGGTAAGCGTACCTCTTGGGAGACGGTTACGGTGATGAGATCTTTCTCACCGCCTGGGGGATATGCGAGTGTATACTGCGGTGGATCTTGTTTTCCTAGAAAAGCGCGTAAGGCGCGGGAGATACCTTCTAGACAGACCAGATCGTATCTGCGTGCTAGTCAGATGTGCATTGCGGTTGCGCTGACTGGCAGCACACCTGTTTGCGGGTACTTCGATTTTTAATTGCTAGAGCAAGGTATAAGCACGAGTGTAATTAGTTAATTAGAAATAGAGACGCACGGGACGTTCTGCGGGAAGTCCTTTCTTGATCGCAGCTTCTACCTCCGCTGTGGTCTTTTTATCGGTTCAGTAATTATTCCTGCGGTAGAAAAAATAAAGAATGGCGTACGTCTTCATCTAATTCCAGTCCATAGTCAAAGCACAAACTATCGAATTCCTCCGTGGCTGCGATGTGATCAGACGTATAGAAAACACAGTTGGACGAGGACGTACTATAGTGATGTCCGAGCCGCTCGAAAAGTTCAGCTTTGTCTACTGAGATGGTGGGCATGATGGGTTAATAGAGTATATGAAGCCAGCAGTGTGTAGCTGGACTTCAGGATTGCTTTCTAGATCACACTGGTTTCAGACTTGAAGAAACTATCACTGGCAAATGATCATATCGAGTCAAGTGAGAGACCCTAGGCACTCCATGTTGTGTCGGGGTCCTACCACAGTGCTAATATTAAGTCTTTCACATGTGCACTGACTAGTCTCGTTGAACATGTATACTCCAATATCCTTCGCGCTCCTAGTAACGTCATCCCTGTTCTGCCAGCTGGTTACCTCCCAAACCCATGAACCCACCGAGTTACATTTAATACACCGTGTTGTGCACCCTGACCTTCCTGTGACACCTTGGGCTGAGCTCGGAACTATCACCGTCCCATCCTTCAAATCCATTTCACCCACTGGCTCAGCTGCCTCATTGTCACTGGCAGAGTCATTACGAGATGACCTTGCAGAGTTCTCAGAGGCAGTCGATCCTAATATGCAGGGTGCAATGTACCACGTCGCAATCGAGCGTCTGGAATCGGAGGGGCCAATATCGAGTATCAAAGCAGTCAGCCATATTTTATTCCGATTTGTGAGTGAAGTATTGATAGACTTCATATAGTGTCTACTCCCTTCCTCCACTTCCGCAAATGTAGTTATCCATTTCTCTGCGACGGGAGAACCATTTGCGATCGACTATTCCGTTTCGCCTGTACCTCAAGATGGAATATGCACTGTGACGAACATGGGGAGCTACCCGGCACATAATGCGAGCGTGGTACTCAAGTCACCACGGATGGCGCCTCTGTATGCATTCTCTCACGTTCTTGAACTTGCCTGACTTACACATCCGTGTCTGTAGACCTGAATTGCGGATCCCACCTCCGCTTACGCCTGAAGGCGAACCAGTAGCATCCGTCCCTGAGAAAAGTTTCGTGCAGAAGTATTGGATATATATGGTTGTAGTTCTTGGGGCATTGCGTGAGTTTTCGGTTTCTTTTGCGATGCGACATGAAGTCACTTTTATAAGTCTCGACTCGCTCGTCTGCTTTCCTTTGTTGCGAGCATATACTGACTGCGTTATTCGATCAGTGATTTCTGGGCCTGCCGAGGACTCTCCTAGCGGGGATGGGAAAGGAGGGAAGTAGATTCACATAACTTATCATGTTAACTTTCTGAAGAGGCACTGCCACTGTAAGCCGGCGCATGTCAACGCGAGGAATTAGTTCTGTTGTGAACGCGGTTACGACGATGATGCAGAAAAAGTTGCTTTTGATCAGTTGTGACAGTGCTCTTGAGCGGTCAATTGGAAAATATATATCATCGGCTTGCTTATCAAAGTAGCGGGCATTGGTCTGACAACTAGAAAAATTGTACAAGATGCAGGACACCCTTGATCACGCACTGGCTTGCATGTCTGTGATGAAGTCGAAAAATCAGTCCATCCAATGGACATGGTGGCCCATCTGAAATCTGGATTCCCCCCCAATTGAATAAAGCACTGCATGTGCCCCAGGTAGACAGTGAATCAAACAGTGTCTCTTCGACATTTAGAAAGTCATTTGATAGCAATCTGACATCTTAGTACATGTACATGATGTGTTCGTTTGTTGCCTGCGTGTATCTATCCTAGGAAGCGCTATTTCACTGTGATCGTCAGCGACATATGTAAAGTGCCTTCACAGTCCACATATACAGGATCACTAAAGCAACACGGTCAGGTCCAGTCCAGCCCACAATACAGATCAAACTAAGGAAGAAAGCTTACTCTTCCATAGGCCAATCACCCAAGCGGTGACATATAAACGGACGATCGACGCGACTAAATCTACAGAATGGACAGCAAGTGAACAAGGGGGCGATGGTTAGTCACATAAGAAAAATGAGTGCCTTGAGTTGACAGCTGGAACAATAAACCTACCTAGGTGCCGATATCATTGAAAATTCTGAGGTAATGATTAGAGGTTTCGGGGTTGCACAGTCAGGCGACTTTCTGTGGGCTTCTATCCGAAGTTGATTGCTTCCTTCTACTGGCAAGCTGGGCTCTTCAAGTTGACAAGTAGCAACCCACTTTCGACCACTGCCCAAATAAACCCACAACGTCCATATACGGCCTGCATGCAGTGAATAGGACGTTCCTATCAGTACTTGAAAGAGAAGTGATATCGACCACATACCCCTGGCAAGATATTCTATGGGAATTGCATCTGCAGTACGAAGGCGTTTCTGGAACATCCTGACACAGAAAGAAGCAACGAAGCGACCACTGCTCAGCTCTTGTATCTGAACCTCGTCTGGAGGACAACCCAAAAACTGTCTTAAGGACTTATACTGAGCTGATAGTGCATGATCAACTAATCCTCTCTAGGGGCATCGAGTACCATGCACTCACACTTAAACATTTCGTTCAATTCCAGCTGCGTGAACAATGTGTTGTCGCCAACCATCATGCACGCAAGATACAAATCAGAATAGAAAGCAAGCGATGGATCGGGAATGAAGTCCATAAACGCCCACAGGGCTTCTCGGCGGTCATTCACGATCGCCCAATACGGCGCCGTGTGACCCTCGATATTGAGTTGTTGCAAGAGTTTGGAGAACTCTGCTGCTGGAAGTGGCAACACAGGCGCTGACAGTTTGAGCGACAAAGGAAGGACTGTAATCGGGAGAGGAGACAATTGCACGGATACATGATAGGCATTTTTCCTTGGATTGTAAAGAGGCTCGGGGAAATACCCAGCGACATAGCTTGGACCAGATGGAATCTGCCAATACGGTTGACGTAGAAATTGCATCGTACGAGGGGGGTGCCAGAGAGTTGCAAGGGACGGTCACGCTGACATCGGACTTGGAAGTCATTGTCGTAGGAGCAAATAATAGGGGCCTGCCAAGTCCACAACGATCTTATCCACCCGCGTGCGTCTCACATGCCAGGGACAAGTGCAAAAATCCAAAGACAAATTTCAAATGTCTATAGGTCGATCTCGGCCTCAACCTAGCTAGCTATTAACAGATGAATGACTACCAAGCGACTTTCCACGGAACACCACATACCAGTACCATGCGCCATTATCGATACAGCATGCCTGAACGTTAAAGACTTGAGTCGTGTGTTGGATGATGATGATTGGGAGTGGCATCTGTTGGGAGTAGAGTCATTGAGGAGGCGAGGGGAGCGAATATCTGAGGCATGCTGACGAGTGAGTGATTTCCACTATGACAATGACGACGAGTAATAAGATTTAGCATAAGATACTCAAGTGTACCTCTGAAAGGTGCTTGGCACCCGTCCAGGACTAAAAGCAGTCACACTCGCGGCAGGAAGGTGATGTGCTAGCGGTATCGGTAAGGGGAGCTGATGCAATAAGACAATTCCTTAGTACACCCAACGACCCAATGGCATAAATATTTGAATACCACGACGAAACAATACAAACGAATTCCCCTGCACTCTGCAGACTAATGCCCGGCAAGCGTAAATCATATCAAGCATCTCCCATGCTACGCACGCTCCTGGAAAGCAATTGAAGTCATAGCGGTTGCTGTATCGGAGTCCAGTTTAGCGTTATATTCTCGAATGCTGAACGCTATTGGATAAGGCGTGATCCTAGCACAGACAGCTGCACCAATTTGAAAAATTCGAGGGAAACTCAGATAGATCTCAACGTCCAAGGGGAATAAAATTGATTGGACGTACAGGATCAGCATACCGGTGATTTCTGAGAATTCCTGACATAAGAACACGTGATGAATGTTTACGAAATAGAAAAATGTTGAGTAGGGCATGAAAAGATGGCTTGTGTTGGTGCGCAATCATGAGACGCCTACAAAGGCCACCGCCCAGTCCCACTGTTCATCACTCCTCCAAGTGCCAATATATCGGCAGGGGATGAAAGTGGTTGCAGGCATATTGTCTCCGAACAGGACGCGCGAGACTGACGACCCTGTTCGAAAACCGATTATCAGCACAAACATCTCGGAGTCTGATATCCAACGTACAACTAGGTGAAAAATCAGCTTCCACTCTGTGGAACAATCTTGCTGAGAGTGCTGTTGCCCAAAATGCACCGAGCAACGGTATTTTTTCGAGTTCAATTGCATCCTCCCGCGATGGATGTCCACGAGCGCAGATAACCACGCACTGCGGCGAGGTTCCCGACACGTCAAATCGAGAAACTTGCCAGTTCAATATGGGCGGCCTGGTCGAATTGAGGATCACTTCGCTCGACACTTTCGTGCTGCACTCGGGATCAACATCCCCTGAAATGCGTGAGCACAGGAGGTCAATTCCTATTTGTCCTACACACCAGATAGTAACTCTGCAGTGCGCAATATCTGGGTGCGTTCGGCATGGATATCCCCTGGAAATACGTGAGTACATTAGGATGATGCAAATAGGCATGCACCTACCAGACACAAACTCCGGAGTGTGAGATACTTGTATGAACGTGTCTTCGTCTAGGACCGTGAATTTGCCTGTATGCACCAATACCTGTTTCTCGATGCGTGCACCGCGCGGGAGGGACGCGACTACCAAGAACAACGTTGGGGTTTCCTACAAAATTAATATTGATTGCAAGTTTTTAATCTCTTGGCTCACCTCGCAAAACGTTTCACAAGCCCGTCGAGTGTGTATGGTATCAGCATAGTCAACAAGCCAATAAAGCGAAAGCAGCACATGACCCCCTGCAGTGTTGGCGGCGCGAATGACGCGTTCCGTGTGCTGGAACACCAACGCAGTTTCAAGTGCCAACGAGGATGGAGAAGGGAGCGTTAAAGACGCAGGGAGTAGACCGATCTGGCCGGATACGAAAACATACGGCTCCACCTGATCTAGATATTAGAAAGGCCTCTCACGTCGCAAAAGGCTGGACACACGGTGACAGCTTGTGAATAAGGACCAATATTAGCAGGCGCCCAGTAGCTCAAACTCTGTACATGGAGCGCTCTCCTTGTGTTATCCTTGCGCGCGACGCATTCAAGAATCACCCTCACCCCCTCGGGAAGATCCACACCCACACAAGCTCTCGAAGGAGGTGAGACACCAAAGAACTCGGCGTATGCCTTGTTTGCAGCTGCAAATATCTTGGGAGCAAGGGAAGGCAGTAAGAGCGTGATATTAGCTACATCTTCTATGCACAGATCGTGCGATTGAAGAATTCCTGTAGGCCGATTGGGACTGGATATGAAAATGATGCAAATGGTAGATTGATACCTTGTAATTGAATAAAGCAGTCGCGGACTTGTTCTTCTAGGGGTATTTCTGAGTCTAGAGACGAGTCTGGGTGGATGTTTCCGATCGCGAGCCATGATCCGATAGCGTGTGTTGATGGATGGCCTGGGATGTGGTGTAGTTTGTTGATCGGTTCATATGTCCCGCTAGAACCCTTTTCGTATCGCTCTAGGACTGAAGTTTCGACCACGTTCTTCAATTCACCGAATCTATCATCCAAGAGTGGCGGAATTTCGACCTTGCCATCTGTATATGACTCCTTGGGATGAAGCGAAGCTTGTTTAATACGCAAATATGCAACAGGCGCAAAATCATTGTCTGTATGCATCACGACTTCTGTTCCATCCAGCGCAATACGATGTTTGAACGACGGGCTGTCAAGAGTAAGAGTTTCATATTCTCCGCCTTCACCACAGATATGCAAACCATAAAGGTTGTTCTGCGACAAAATGAATCATGATGTTTGTGTAGAAGCAATGGACGCACCAATCGCGTGAGGGTGTCCTGCATTTCGTTTAATGTTTTTCCTAGGTGTTTCACTGTCAGACCGATGCCTGCTACTTTTATGAGCACGCTTTTAACCCCGGCTGCAATCATCTCGGACAGCAATTCGGCTTGATCGCGCTGCCAGAGGTATGCTAAGGGCGTGAGGGAAAGACGACGACACCTGTTGGGCGTGAACATTACGAACTGAATTATACGTGGCCAATACGCACACATGTTCGACGCGAACGCGTTGGTAATTTGAGAGAATAGCGCCGACTGCGACACCTTGCACATCCGGGTGGTGAACCTGGTTGGTTTACTACTATGAGACCAGGGTGAGATAAGTTGGCGAGAGTTAGATCTGACCTTGACACGCTTTAATAGAGTATAGAGATCCTCCGTTTCATCTCCTAACACGCCAGCTCCCCCAGCACTACGCGAACCATACTCTGCATTTTGCTCGATAGCATCACCTTGTATGACGTGTCGATAGAGCGGAACTTCAAGAGCGCGAGCTACAAATTCGATCGCGTCTTGGCCCACTGTCTGGTACATATACGAGTCGATCTCATCTATGGAGATGAGGCGCTTTCGTGAAACAAAAATAAAGTCAGACCTTTTCCTGATTGCGGGGAGAGTGTCGCTGCAGCTACAAGTTGGTAACCATTGGCGTTGCAGTGGGATAAGTTGTAACAGCTGTCTTTCCCTCCACTAAGGAGTGCGACGTACTTCATTGTTTGTGGCAGTAAACGATAAATGATGTTAAATTGGCCAACTACCCTACAGAGCGCGCCGGCGTTATGTAAGCTGGTGTCTAGACTCTACATCTGCAAAACGACTGAAATGAACGCTTAACTTACGCGCGTTACGAACACTTACGAACGCTTACGACTTCAGTAGCGAAGCCATGCGATTGGTGGAGATCTGACAACTCACTTAGTCGTGTCAAAATCACGAAATCGAGTCTTAGATTTAGTCTTAAATTATTTAGCGAATCTTATCTTTGCAAGATAGTCCAATCAATCAATCTAACATTGCGATGCACACCACAGGACGTCTAGACTCGAGGGAAACTACATGAAATCTGTGTGTAGCGTGTGGTACCATTCTTTGTCTGAAAAATTGTTAAGGTAGAAGGTATCATAGCTTTCCAAACACGTCGAGGAGTCAACAGCACGATTAGCTCTGTCCCTGTAAACAGGAATGAGCTCGATTGCATGGGTAACATCGAGCAGAGGAATGATCATGCCAACCCGCACTTGTGTGCCATCAGGACCGGTCACAAAACGGCGCTTAACGCGGAACATCATGACTCCAACATCATCTTGAGGACGTGCGACGACTTCGAAGAGCTGTACATAGAGGAATATTTGGTCAAGTTCAGCAGGCAACGGTGGGCCTTTCTTTGACAAGCCAAACACCATGCGAACTTGAGCTACAATGGCGTCTAGTGAAGAAATGCGTGAATACAAAGATACTGACCGTAACTTCAAAACTCACCAAGATTTTCACCTTCTTCACCTTCACTGTGCATCTGCAGCAGGACAGCATCACAATTTCCACGAGGATAATTGGTAGATGGCGGATATGCTTGTACCTGCTGGCTCGGCATGACGAGACGTGGACGCAACATCGAATGCAGCTGAATACGAAACTTGTTCCAGACGTTGAGCAGTTGGTTCTGGAAACGAGTTGCGAGCGTAGGGTTGACACTTTCAATGAAGGAGCGAAGCGTCAGAGGAAAGTCAGGAAGCTGGTATAATCGCGCCAAAAAAGGTGCTGTCTTGTTGGTGTGGTCACTGGATACAGTGATATGAAAGGCGACCCTGCTGTCTTCAGACAGCAGGCCTTTGAGGAAATGGTTGCAAATGGGACGTGGGCCTTGAAACCGAGACAGTTCTTCGGGAGCGACGCGCATGATCCAACCCAACATCGGGTCCATGTCAACGACTTCGTCGAATTCGTTGACGATGAGGTTGTTGAGGGACATGTCGTTTGAGCGGAGGAGGGCATAGAGGTCGAACTGGCGTGCAGTCTCTTCCCGGTCCAGGAGACGGACGACTTGCTGAGTGAACGTTGCACGTTGGTGGCTGGTGCGCTCAAATGGATTCTTGCACTGTGTGATGAGCATGCGCTCACTGACATCAGCAGTAAATTGTATAATGGAGCCAAGCTGGGGGATGGCTCGAGCGAATGATGCTAAGAGCTCAAGTTTTGGAATTTCAAAATGCTCAATAGGACCCGATGTTCCTCGGCGAGCCTCGGCACGGAGAATTGTGTGTTTGAATTCGTGAAACTCTTGGAGGGAGGAGGTCATGTCAGCGATCGATGTTGGAGTGAAAGTTGGAGCCTGTGCTTTGTAGATGAAATCGACCATCGCGCGAACAGCGCGGACGAAATCAGGATCGACGACACCTGCAATTGTAGGTACGATTGTGCGTTGGATGTCCCGATGTTCCCGACCGGTCATCTGCGAGACATGGGAGACACCTTGCCCAAAGTGACGGGTTCCGATGCGTTTATGTTGCGAACGAAAGCGAGTATCGAGTTCATCAGCCCCAACAACTTCCTTACACCACTTGAGGATGTGATCAAAGAAAAATTTATGGCATGTGTGGAGAAGTTCAGGTGCAAGGAAAATAGCTGGATCAGCGAAGCGCCAGTCACGCCAGAAGGGAAGCTGCACCCCGCTGAGATGTGATGCTTTGGCTGCTTCTTGAAATTCCTGGACCTTCCAGGGATCGATACGCTGACCAAGTTCTTCAAGTGTCCTGAGTGTGCCCTGGCCGTCGCGAGGTTCATACAACTTTCCGTCCCCGAACTGTGACTGGATGGCTAGAGTGACTGGTGATGTATTCTTACTTACACATGAAACCATCTGTTGTTCGGGGAGGTCGGCGGTATATGCGACAAGGGGGGTAAATCCATAGCGTAAGAGACCCAATGGGTCCACCATACTTGCGCCTACAGCGGCTGCCTCCTTGAGATTCATGCAGACTATATCCATGCACCGATGCCACACACGGGCTTGCAAGAGTGAAGAGAACTCAGGGTTGCAAATGAACTGAGGAATGGGCATATACGCGATGCATGACCATGCGTGAGCCGTAGCCTTCATGCGAATGTCAGATTGGATGTTAGCGATAGTAAGGAACGTGGGATGCATCTCGAGACCTCCTGTGTGTCGAGTGACAGGAGTTTTGTCTGATGCAAGAACGATGGGCACAATGGTAGCACCTCGTGGAAGCTCGTCCTATGCATAAAAACTATCGTCAGAATTCGTATTCGAACATAAAAAATAATACAAGCCTGGATATCATGCGCACGCGAACTCGACATCCATTCACCATATTCCCGTTCTCCATCAACAAATATCTCATATGGATCGAATTCCATGTCATTGGCAAAAATCGGATTGCCAAATATGTGCTTCGTTACCTCCAAAGCATCACGCCAGATAAGATGCACAGGATGCGTTGTAACATAACCATCTGTCTCGATTGTTGTGCAGCGCCACTGCGGTCCCTTTGGCAGGGCGTCCATAAAGGTTAGCAGTTGGGGCGCAGTTTTGAATGTGGGCTGTTGCCGTGTTTCTGACTTCACCTAATAGCAAGCTGTTAAAATTTAAAAGTTAATGTAAAGTTCACTGACCCATAATAACTTCAAAAAGCGACTTATTTGCCCCTGATTCAGATTCTTGATGAGAAATTTGGCGAGTTCCCATTCCTCCCTCCCAGAAAATGGGTAGTACACATTATGTTCGCGAGCGGACTCATAGTCATGAGCCTTCATGTGCTCGAACGTATTTGGCCGTTGAAACCCGTAAATAGAGCCGGATTTCGTGTGATAGCGACCCATGCGTTCTTCACCTGGACCAGCAGGTTGGCGAAGTGCATGAGGGATGGGTACAGCATTGCATTGTGGATCATCTGTAAGGTGAGTGCAAAGTTCTTCCACCTTCACAAATGGCGTGGAACAGGTGGGACAAGGATACTGGCTAGTACCACTATATGATAGCCAGCTTGATCAGGACCATCGTGTAAGTTTGATATCAAAAACGTACTCTCTGGCCCTAAAAAACATCTCGTCAGAGGTAAAGCCCTCTTCTACATTGGATGCCATCGGAGCGTTCAACTTGAAGAACTTATTGATATCGCAGCCTTAAGAATCACCTTGACTGACCATCCACCGCCGTGTATTTGGAATTCTGTTAAGTCCTTCAAACTCCGAAACTCGCTGACAAGTCTGTTGACAGCACCGCAGCGAGAGGCTGAGTGAGAAAACATTCAGGTCAAATCCTCCAAGTCCATTGTTCATATCATGCTGGACACTTGTATTGCTACTATGCGCCCTACTAGCCCAACCAGCTCTGCAACTTTCGTCGAACATTCCTCTCCTGCTTATAGAGCAAGTCCCAAGGCTAAGCGTAAGTCTCGGTCTCTACGCAGGTCTCGGTCTCCCCTGGGGAACTACTCCTTACACTCTCCCCGGGGGAACTACACCTTACGGTCTCCCAAGGGGAGCTGCTCCTCATTTAACTCTGCTTTGTTTGACTCTGAGTCAGAGGGACATGATATCCCTATTGCAAGTTTTGTGTCCCTTGTAAGTCTTTTCCACATTTTTGCTGGTACTGATTGTATTGAACTCGATTAAACAGGCCCCAGAGATTCTGGGCGACACAAACATGCCGCCTGAGGATCTCAAAGTGGCTGTTGCTGCTCAGTATGCCACTTGTGAGAAGCTTCGCCACCTTATCATGACCAGGATCTGGCAGGTAGAAGAGGCGAGCAGGTGGACTAGTTTCTTGAACCAATCCATCAACAAGTTGAAGAAAGAACATGAAGCTGCAGAAGATGGGCTTCGACTCTGGATTGAAAACGCGCAGAAAGAGTGCACAGAGGTTTCTGAACCATCCTCCAGCGTTACTACAAACCTCCTCAAAGCAAAGGAGTCCCTCAAGTTTGTGCAAGGTAAATACAACGATATGGAAGGACTACTTATCGCACACGGGGTCACCAACACAGACTTGATCATGGCTAACGACGGTGGCGAAGACTCCGAAAGCGGTCGGGACTAGGCAATCAGTTAAGTTCATTTCTTATCTTGGTCAAAAATGTCACTGATTCGTCGATTACCACTCTAGATCAACGGTGTACCAGTTTTATGTATTCAAGAGTTTTGTAGTAATGTTCGATGTAGCCTCGTGACTGATTTCTCTTCTTCTTGTCACTATCGATACTATCTTGTCACCATCGATATCATTCCGCACTATCACATCTTTTTGCCTATTCTGTCCTTACCCCGCGTGAAACTGCGTCAAACATACTGATCATCATGCCACGAGGTTCACAGCATGCAGATTTCGGTGCGTCTAATACATAAATGTCTGCATTCGTGATTACTGATTGATCTTTCTATTGAATTGGCTGCGCCATGAGGCCGATAGAACCCTGGGGCCAATTAAATAACCCCGGCTGTTAAGCACCTGGACTCAAGCGTACGTTTTTCTCATACGTTTTCCACCCACCCATCATCATGCCCCCAAAGGCCAGTGCAACTCGCAAGCACACGAAGATCACGAAAAAGCGTCCCTCGCGCAAGAATGCGAAGGTAAGTCTTACGGTACTACTACCTATGCATGCTACTAATATAATATTATTAGGCAATAAAAAAACCAGGGAAAAATTCGGGTTTAAACCCGTCTTTGAATTCAGATGCAAGCCAGATCGGTGTCCGTGTCGAACAACCTCAAGGTCCGGCATCATACCAGCAACTAATTTTGTTAATCGAATCCGAAGGCATGGACGAGGATGAGGACGATGAGGACGAGGATGATGAGATGGAGGAGGAAGATGATATGGAGGAAGTCAATATGGAGGAAGCCGATGAACATCTCGCACAACCAGGTCCGTCACACGACTACTACTCATCGTCCATGCAGCCAGCTCCACCGCCGGACTCCCGGCAGCTCCCTCGACAACATCTTGGGCAACCAGGCCCGTCGCACGACTACCACCCACCGTTCATGCAGCCAGCTCCACCGCCGGACTCCCGGCAGCTCCCTCAGCAACATCTTGGGCAACCAGGCCCGTCGCACGACTACCGCCCACCATTCATGCAGCCAGCTCCACCGCCGGACCCCCGGCAGATCCCTCGACAACATCTTGGGCAACCAGGCCCGTCGCACGACTACCGCCCACCGTTCATGCAGCCAGCTCCACCTCCGGACCCCCGGCAGATCCCTCGGCAACATCTTGGGCGACCAGGCCCGTCGCACGACTACCGCCCACCATTCATGCAGCCAGCTCCACCTCCGGACCCCCGGCAGCTCCCTCGGCAACATCTTGGGCAACCAGGCCCGTCGCACGACTACCGCCCACCGTTCATGCAGCCAGCTCCACCGCCGGACCCCCGGCAGATCCCTCGACAACATCTTGGGCAACCAGGCCCGTCGCACGACTACCGCCCACCGTTCATGCAGCCAGCTCCACCGCCAGACTCCCGGCAGCTCCAACAGCAACCAGCCCCTCATGCTCACACTTACGGGCTCCCACAGATGCCATTCGCACCACCGGAACTCGTGTCTCGTGAGGCACATCAATTTGATGTGCCCACACCGACAACCTTCAGGAATATCGGACACATGCAAGAGCCGCAGAGGGAGGAAGAACGGACACGTTATCTGGGACGCTTACCCATCGACCTGCCCGGAATTCGGAAGGTATTCGTATACGATCCTCGCCGCCCACCCGAAGGCCACCGGGGACAACTGTTCCCAACCGGAGTTATCAGAGTGCGTCGCTCACTTGTATCATGATCGTGACTGACTCTCTTCTACAGGCTACAGGAGACATCACTGTTACTGCACCACTCCCGTCTCGCAGAGAGCTGCCTCCGGTGTCTACTCCTCCCTCGCCTATCACTAATTTGCCTGTGGCTGGCTCCGGGCCTGTGGCCAACAGTCCTGCACGCTCCCATCCCTATGCTCCCCAACGTCCGACTAATGAGCAGTTCAAGAAATTGATGGAAGCCGCGAAGTCTAATATGCGCCGCAAGGTGTTACTAGAGAACGCTATGCCCGAAACGGGCGTCAACACAGCGATGGCGGAGGCAGCGCTGTCGGCAGCTCGCCAGGACTTCATGCCTGACGCGGAGGTTCCCAACTACGAAACCTGTCTTAAGAGCCTCCGAACCCTCACAACGACCATACGAACGGCCTTCAAAACGAGGGCGCGCCGCGAAGTCCCAGTCCATTATGATCTTAACCGTCCGTTGGACGCAAATGCGGAGATCGCGCACAGGAAACAACGTGTACCGATACTCGTTGAGAATCACGCGTACTTGTTTTTGGTGAGTTTTCTTTTTGTATTCTTCTTCTAATGACTTATCCTTTTTTTTCTCTAGCACGAAATGAATGATCTGGACTCGCTGGCCCCAGTCAATCATCCTGGCGTACACGCCGTCATCGTTGCAGCTGTGTGGGAAACCGGCTTCCACACAGAGCTTGACATAGACGACGTGGACGCTCTCGACAATCTGATTTCACTCGGCGGCGCTGCAACACATTCAGTCCTCATGGAGCATCTCAACGGGAGACGTCAGACGGTGGAGTTTTCAGCATCTTCGTCATCTGGAGCAGAGTATCGTTTCATTCAACAACACAATCTCACCATTCGTAACGTTCCTGCAGTATATCACGCTTCCATTTCTTTAAAGAAAGATTTAGTTGAACGAGGTATATCTACTATCAGTACGGCTAGTATGTCTGATGATCTGTAGATATGTAGATAAGATTTGATTCCTTTGTGATAATCTTGCACTTTCATAAGATTCACTCAATATATATTGTTTTGGAAATATTTGGGTTGCTCGCTCGCGCAGAAACTTAAAAGACGCTAAGCGGTCGCCTAAAATCAAACACCGCTCATCGAGCACTCATCGAGCGCATCCGACTTTTAGATGTAGAGCTACCGTACCAAAACAGAATATAAACGAAAATTAAGCCACCATGAAATATGGAAAAAAACAAACGTAAACCTAATGAAGAATGCCAAGCAGAAATGAAAATATAAATAATCATTAAAATGCAGGCAAAGGCGGTAACAATGTTAATAAAACTGAGAAGGCACCAATGCAGTCTAGATGCAGCTATTTTCTGTAATTATGAAATAAATATAAATAGCTATGACAAGGATAACATGAATACTTACTTTGATTTGCGTTTCCTTCAGGTTGCGCAGGCGCACCAGGTTGTGTCATGAGGTGATTACACCTGGCAGGATATCAGTATTATGTAGTAAAAAAAATTAGCTAAATTTGGACGTACCTAGTGCGGCAAGCATCTGACAATTGCTTAAAATTACATAAGCGATGGGAGCCAATGGGACACCTTGGCCGGCGATGCCGCAGATGACGAGGATGCCGAAAGAGGTATACCTTGCATATTTTAGGGGTTTGGATACCACCCGTTCGGCATAGTCAGTCGACTCGGAGTTTCCGATACCTTCTAAAAATGCATCATGGCTGGTTCCGGCTAACCTCATGAGGACTGGCACAGCCACACATCAATTAAGGACTCATTACGAAAATTTGAATTTTACTCACCACATATGAGCGTGCTCATTGGAGGAGGAGCGGGTGTAGTAACATTTGACTGGGTTCCCGGCATATTTGGGGGTGGGGGTAGGGGCTGTTGGGACACGGACACGGTTGTGGTTGTGATTGAGAAAGATAGGGAACTTGAGTTTCGATATACATTTATATACTACATTTCGTGTTCACTTCTTTTGTAGTTACAGATTGGCATGAAATTATATGTACCGGCGCACTGTGCTCCGAAGCTAATTAATTCGATCGATCGATCTCACTTCTTCCTGCGGAAGCAATTCGCGTTCATCTATATCTACATATTGTTGTCGACGCCGAATGATGCAATGCACAGCGTGTGCGCGATACGATGCGAAGCTTTGAAAGATCGGAAGAAACGATGCAAAATGAGAAATTGTGATGGAACGATCAAAGGTACGACGCAAAAACGATACAACGACTTCGGCACGTCAGTCCGCAGGCGAGCGGACGGCTTGTTTATTGTACCTATCTCATTTGTTTTATACCGACCTCTATTTGCTTGTTTTCACCGCGCGTACGCGTGAGGCCTTGAGTAGTAAACGGGAGATAGAACAAGTGATTGATAGACATGAATACGGAAAACTTATATACGAGATACAGCTGTTGAAAATGTAATGTATGATACAACGATTTGTCCACCCTAGATCACATCAGGGCTCCTCTTCAGCCCTGAGCTCCTCCAGCACAGCAAGCCCACTCCTCATCTGACGCTCTGTCTTGGTGGGTGGCACCATACGACAGGCAGCAGCGCCGATCAGCGTGCACAAACCTCCGAACCGCAGGACCCATGCTACGCCATTCTTACCCAGGTATGTGTTGTGATCGGGCTCGAGATCGGGAGAGGGAGTGACGACGTCGGCGGTTTCGTCTACGATACGGAATATCAGAGATGAGACGAGGGCGATCTAAACGGGAGGAGCTGAGTGAGGTTTCAAGGGAACAGATCGACGAGACTTACGATAAATTGTGGCATCACGATGGCAAGGTTATGGATGCCGAGGATCGTGCCTCCTGCTGGCCTGGTCTCACTATCGCTGACCTCAGCATCAGCATCAGAATTTGATTCGACCTCCGTGGAGCGACCAAGTAAAGGATCTTGCTCGGAGGCCTCAGTTGTCGCTTCAGGTAGATGTGGAATCTTTGCATGTATCTCTTTCAACAGCTACAATTCACGACAATTCAACTCAAATCCAGTTGGAAAAGAACATAACTGACCTCCATGATAATGGCGAACGGCACCCAACATGCAACAGCCCAACATATCCCAATCAAACTAATCGCGACCGTAGCTTGCTTGACGGTGCTTATCCAGAATGTAGAGAACGTTAGCAAAGTGAACAAAATCATCGCCGCTGTCCATATGTCCCGGAGGAGCCATGGCATCTTGGGAAGTTTTATAGTACCTTCTTGACGCCACATGTGAAGTCTACCGCGGAAGCGTTCAATCTGAGCATCTTCATCATCACCTTCTACAGGGAGAAGACGATGGTCACGTCGTGCAAAAAGGGGGAGTACGCTGCCGGCAATAACAGCCACTACGTTGATGTGAGGTTTTGCTTTAAATGGTATATATCAAGACATACCTATGCTGTATAGCAACATTGCGAATTCACCAGTACGAGTGGCTAAATCGTTGTCTGGCTCCTCACCTGTCTCGTAGGCCATGACTTGACCCACATATGTGGTACTAGTGCGTAAAATCAATTAGAAAATGAGATATGGATTAAATTTGAGATTTCTCACGAGTAGAACAAAAATGGGAACCTGATTCGACGCGTCAGCACACCCGGTCAAAGAAGCACCCATACCACGCACCATCCCATGAAAGCAAAGATCTGCACAAAACATACCCTTCTGATAGGTCTCGGAAGCGTCGTTATCGCATTGTATATATTCTCCAAGATTTCACCGAACTTGCCGCGCCTAGAAGTTCGTTCAACTAACAAGTCGGTTCCATATCAATCCACCAACCTCTGATTATTCTTCCTTACTACGGAAGCTTTCTCCTCATGACAGAAGCAAGTGATCCACACAGTGGCAACAAGGATAGTCATGCTGACAACACAGAACTTTCGGAACTGATCGCCACCCAGGAAGCTCAGGAAGGGCAGCTTCGCAAGAGGGATGAAGCCTTGACATTGCGTCAGCACGGCGTCGGTAAACGAACATGAACAACAACATACCAAACCCGTAGCCAACGATGTTACCTGCTTGGCACATACGGCTATGCCAGGCATTGCCGGCATTGAGCTGATCAGGGGGAGTGATATCCAGGAGAAGATTTCGCAAAGATGCTTGGAGAGCGTTAAGAGCAAAATCAAGAATGTAGAACGCGAAGACAGCTATGCCGATCGCAACGTTTGCAGCCTGGTAGTATAAGAGACATGAATGGGGAATGATGAACAATAACATACCTGCTTCGTGCGTTCTGGATCCCAGTCACCAGCACCTCCACCAAAGATGTCAACAAAGAAACCAGCGATGTTCTGACAATACGCCAACGCTAGCGTTGAGACGACAAGTGCACCGGTCGATAAGACTACCCAGTATCTCCGCCGATACTTCGACGTAGACGAATCAGATATTGCACCTTGTGAACTGTTCAATCGACTGTCCAGAACCTATATCAGAGAACATACCTATGAGAGGTTGTGCAACAAGACCGCTGATAGGCCCAGCTAGCCAGACCAGGCTGGTAACCTGTTCTGATATCCCTAATGACAAGAGAAACGGAGTTCCGTATCTAGCGGGCGTACTGTATTAATATTTTAGGCGAACCAGTAGTATTGGAAACTTACCCTAGTTCCACCGTCCACGCGATTTGGGCGCCAGCCATGGATATACTGAGAGTAATGAGATTCCATGTGGTCAAGCGTGTTCGCCCGGGTTCGCTTGCGTGTTGCTTGCCAGACCTGTCTGTCTGCTTTCCGTTTCCATCTACCTCCTGGTGTGATTCTTGTTCGACAGACTGCGTTTCTTGTTGAGAATAAGATGTTGTGCGCGACCTGTGGCTAGCTGGCCATGCTATCTGGGTGGTTGGGTCGGGGTCCGCGTCAGGATTGTATGCAATGGTCATTTTTCTGCTCAAGATGGTGACAAGGAGGAAACCAAGGGTATAAAAAACAGCGAAGTAGAACTGCCAAGCTGATCAGGTTCAGCAGTCTTGACGCAAAGAGGCGCAAACCTCCTTAGCAGAGCAGGCGAGGCAAGTGCTATAATAACATTCGTAATCGGCATTCTCCGAACAAAGGTAGCGAATATCGGTCTTACCCTTGGCAAATCTGAAGGCTTAAGATCTGGGGTCTGATGTATGAGTGAGGACGTGCAATCGCTACAGATAAATTGTGCTACAGTACTAGTGCAAACAGACAATGCTGGGTGTATAAAAATGTCCAGACGAAAACTAATCCCACTACGAAAATTGAACAGTGTGACATACAACCAGGTGTATGTAGTACAGATGAAAATAGTACAACAAAAATACTATCCTCCCAGCTATCCGCGACTAGAAGCTGCTGAAGAGCCTCTCCGATGGCTATGATCACCTTGGGGTGGGTCATTGACAGGTATGGGAGTAGGAGGGGGCTGAGCAGGTGAGGACTTGGACGAAAAGATACTGGGTAGTCTCCGGCTTATGGCTGCGGCAGTGGCTGATGATGCAATGCGGACCCCTTTTTTAGGTGGTTCTGGGAACTGCGCATATAGCATGGGGGGTCCGGTAAATGTCTCAGATCCCTCCAACTTCTCTTCGTGTTGAGAGGTATCTGAGGAAGATGCGCGTGTGAGAATGGGAATTGGTGAAACCGCAGCTTGTGCTGGACGCGCGCTGGATGGATTTGTTCCGGACCGATTTCTCAGAGCGTCTGCTTGGCTGTTCTGGGTTTGTGCGGCAAGAGGAGATGGAGTTGTGCGGAGCTGTGCAGCAGAAAATGAAGGTCTGAGAGATTTTCGAGGTGCCGTCGATCCGGTGATGGTTAAGGAAGCCAGTGCGGTGATATCATCACCGTTTGCCGAAGGACCAGCTGAAGTGAAGTTGTTTCCATTCTGAGATTTATTGTCCGTCGACGCTGTTCCCGCACTTCCGCTACGATTTCTCCTCATGTACTTCTCTATCTCGTCCGCATCTCGCTCACGCATGCGGTTCACGATGGGTGACAGTGAATTTGGTTGCGCAAGAGGTGGATTGAGTGTAAGCCCCTGCGAAGGCCCCGGGGAGGAGGGGAAAGTTCCTGTACTGCTGGCCGAGGACATATTATCAGATCGCTGCGAATGAGTATGGGTATATTGACATGAGGGTAACCTCGATGGCTGTGACGTTGTCGAAGACGCTGAGAGAGATGAAAGGCTGGTTCCTTGCCCTTGCCCAGCACTGTCTACATCGCCGCTGTCAGACGTCGTGGTGGTGCGACTTCCACCTGAGCTGCTTCGCATTCGAGACGCGTTCCTTCCGACGCTGGGTGGCTTTAATGGGATAGGCGGCGGTCTGGCAATGGGCCATTCGTTGCCTCGAGCAGCGGCTTGTGCAAACACCATGCGTCTAGATTTCTTATTAGTTTCAAATTGCATACGAGCAGAGTCCTGCAAAGTGTCCCGTGTGCTGAAACTTTGTTACCGTCAACAACCTAGCAATGGTTACGAAAAAGTGCTAGGCTCACGAATATGCGTAATCGGACGCAGTAAACCCGTCATTGTTTCGAGCAGCAAATTGACAACCTCGTTCAATTAAAAGCTGAACAATCTGGGGTTGAAAAGTAAGCGAGAAAGAACGTCGCAATGGATCAGATGTGCTCCACGTACCGGTATATGACCCCAAGAACTTGCACTGATAGGGATTAGTCAAATTCCAAGACCCGATGACTGGAAGAAACTTACTAATGTAGAGGAGTGTTGCCTTTATTATCCGACAGATCGAAGTCGGCACCCAAATCACACAGCATCTTAAGAAGGGCATCAAGATAAAATAAGCTCAAGCTCATGGTATAATCGAGGTTCCGAGTAACTCACGCGAACGAGTTCCTCGTTCCCTTTGAGAGCGGCCATGTGCAGTGCCGTTTTCCCTTGTACGTTGGACCAATCAAGAATCCATGGGTAACGTTCGTAGTAAAGTCTTGCCATGCGAAGCGCAGCACCCATGAGATCAACCTGCGAGGGACCTGGCGCGTAAGGGTTAGGTGGTGGAGACTTGAAATCGGCCAATAGCATGAGAATGGTGTTGTTCTCGGATTCCTGATAGATGACGTGGTCAAAACCTCTGAGGGACAACACTTGTGGCGAGCGCGTACCCTGCTGAGTTCTTCATCGTCATGCCCAGCTGTAAGTAAAAACTCGAACGTCTCCTCATGTCCCAAGACAGCGGCCCAAGCTAATGATGTATAGCGCTTTGGACCGGGGTCAGGATTTCGCATGTCAGTTCGTTGAATGAGTCTCTTGACGAGGAAGAGATTGTTCTCTGTAGATTTGGGGATCATTAAAAGCGACAGACTGATACCGGTAAAATGAAAAACCTTTGACCGCTCTACGGAGGCGTACGGTAGCATCTTTTTCTGCCATGTACAGAGCAGTTGACGGTCGGGTGAAAGAATGAGGGAGATGGAAACAATTGGAGTTAATTACTACGGCTGCCCCACGTGACCATATGACCCTTTGACTTTGTCGTTATCTTGTGCCTACCTAACATCTTGCCAACTCTCAGGATTTTGTTCTAACGAGATCCGAGACCAGTCTCGACCACATACGGCGTCTCTGTCTGAGCAGGATTTTCTGGTGAAACATTAATCATGCCAAAGGTTGTCTCTCGTTCAGCGGTATCCTCATCCACGGATGGTCAGTCACATCATTCCAATTATCTGGTGCATCATGATCAGTTGCTCATTTTGTTAGCACGACCAACGGCATCAGCCGCAGCTGCTCTCAGGGTGTACTGTGAGTACCGTACTACGCCAACGTTGGCCGCATTAGTTCACCTGCGTCCCTTGCACAGATTGTATCTGTGGCGAGTTCATCGTGCGCGTTTTCAGTCAGGCTCGGCACTGCTGTCACGAACTTACGCAAGATACATGACAGCTCGTAATCGAAAGAAGCCTTTCGGCGCTCCCAAAGCGCCAGACTGATGGTGCTACCATCATTCGCTGTCAGGATAGCGGTACAGAAAATGCAATCGTTCTCAAATTAAATGCTATATCGACCGATCCCGTTCTAGTCGAAAGGTACGAACAAATTGGATCCACGGTGGGCGGGACTGATTGGAAGGTGCAGGCCAGAGGGACATGAGCGCCAGTACAGATTCTCATGTCCGCGGTGCAACTTATTGGTCGGATATCAAACCACCCCGCCTCCTGTCAAATCTGGTCCATATCTGTATATCCTCAGGGGAGCCCTTACGCAGATGCAAGGCCAAGTTCCCAAGGACGCTTTTGATGGCGAAGCTACCCTGGACCCTTCAGAAGAATAGCGTGGCCGCGCCGCCGAATTGAATATCACCTCAGTACACGCATAGATAACAATAGCAATATCTTTCGAACAGTAATAATACAGCATGGGTATATAGGGTCTACGGACATGGCCATTAAATGCGGTGCAGAGCTGTTAGTAGCGAGTGGCATTTATGACAGCCGATCACTGATGTTTGATATCGTGAGCAATCGAAAAGGTACCTGAGAATTATTGTTAGTGATACGTCTTGATAGAGTAAATTGGACGGAGTAAAAGCGGCTCAGCTACCGTTGTAGAAAAAACTCACAATCCATGCATCCAATGGACGCACAGATTCATACAGTGTGAATAAATATGTCATCACCACCGCAGAAACAAGAGAAAAGCAATACATGTAACTGTAAACTCACCATTGGCGCCAGTTGCATCTTCCGCCATAGACACTGTGGGTTGATCGATATGCGGAGGAAAGAGAATTTTCAAAATTTATCTAGGACGTGTTTGCTCGTGTTTGCTCGTGTATGTTCCAGAAGCAAATAGTGACTTCGTTGATGCATTCTATCCCAAGTATTGCGTTGTTGAAACAAGCTACTCAGTTTTGGCGACGTCACCCTGATAGAGCCCAGAGATTTAACCTCAAAGTCCTCAGCGCATGCAAAGATATCTCCCTCCGTTCTGTCACCAGTGCTTCAAGTATACGGTCTGTAGTATTGACAATCAATGTAGCAAACTGGTTCATCCCGTATTATTGGGAAGTCAACCTGGACCAGGCTCACCTCTTCTACCAACTTCCACTCAGCGAACCCATCTTCCGGAGGAGATAATTTAAGCCCAACAAATGCGGTAGACCTGGGTTCACAGACGGATACGTATCAGGTTCTCGGTGTAGAATGAAACTGACCGGCTTGCTTCGGATTCCTGACACATGGCTGACGAGTGAATAATTGACGGTCTCGAGCGCATACTGATCAATAGAGTCAAGTTTGTGACTGGTATCGATACCAATCTTGATGCTTGGACACAATGGACAGTCGAGTGTAATACTGTACCCATATCCAGCGAATGGACGCTATCACCAGAAGATCAACCATTCCGTACGTATCACTTTTAATGATATGTTAGAGAATATAATGTATTGACCACAGATTGTCGCTGTTTGTTGGGCGTCTCTCCATTAAAGTTACATCGAAGATAAATAACGCGCAATCGATGGATTCATCAGTTGGTTATCACAACACCATCTCGAATTCCACCTCAGCGTTGAGTGTGTATATTCCGCTACTTCGTACTTACGTGGACTAACTCATAGCATAACCCTAGTATTCTCAGATCCATCCGAAAACATGATAGTGAAACCCACCTTTAACAATGAATTACAACGTCTAAGAAGCGACGTTGAAAGACTCTCCCTCGAGGCTCAGCGAAAGGAACGCGAAGTAACTCTGTTGACTGGTGTTATATGCCGGCTAGAAACAGAGCTAGCTCGGAGTTCCAACACGATACCCGCACAAGCAACCATCGGTGGTGCAAACCTGCGCGACTTACTCCAACTCTCACCGCCAGATTTATTGGCTCTGGATGACGACATTCGGTTGATGAGGAGGAAGGTGCTGGATAGAGCCCCTACGGATTATGCTGAGGGCGTGCAGGAGTATCTGACAAAGGCTATGAGGGAGGCCATGATCAGGAGAGGTGTTGGGTATGATGACGGCGCGGACGCCGATTGGTTGAGTCCGTGGATTAATGTCTATCAAAAGCCGGAATTGGAGGATGATGTTAGGTTATTGGGGTTGAGGGATAGCAGGAGGGGCGTGCCGGGTAGGGTTGATGGTGGGAGGTACGACATAACCGTTGCTTGCGATACGCTGATCGGTTTATCGCGATGGAGAGGTATTCATTGAGGACCTTGTTTCCATTACTTTCCGAGCGGTTGTTAGGCAGATCAAACACTCGCTGACAGTGACAGTTGTTTCAACGTTTCCTGCTAAAGACAACTGATCTATTCAAATATGTCGGAGAGAGCCTAATAATAGGTCTCCGATAAATCATATGCGTAGAAGCGCACCGGCATTAGAATCTTGGGGCCGGCGAACCAGTCAACTGAGGATTTCAGTCAGCAGTAGGCGACAAGCTACGCGTGGACACATACCGCGTGCTGCGCGCAAGCAAATATTGACAATAGAGTGTTCCAGTTCAAGGTATGTTCGTAGGTCCCAGCACTAAAAAAGGCAATTATTGGCGCCGCATCTGATTGCTTGCTTTCTTCCTCGTCCTTGTCCGAGTCTCACCCGGTCGTCAGAGCAGCAGCAGCCGACAAGGCAAGGTTTCGAGTCGACGTACTTAAGCAGCCCGAACTTTCGACATGATTCCCCCCGAGCAACATACCTCACTCGCACCGTTCTCTCCCGTACGCATTAACTCGAACGGGATATTAAAATGGCTTCCAACAAAAACACTCAGTGCCACTTCTCCGTCTTCCCTTCTGGTCCTGCTTCTACCAACGTATTTGTCCTCTTTGGTCATGCGCAGTCGCCCCGTGATGGGCACGTCATGTGCGAAGACCTTCGAAAGGTCTTCGGTTCCACCAACTTGAATGGGCGCACCACCGCCCAGAGCTCCGGCTCCTTCAAAGGGTTGAAGAAGATTTTAAGCGCCATATAAATTTGGCCAGCGGCATTTGCTTATCGCCGGTCCGTCGCGGTAGAGTCGCGCGCGTTGGTGGCCCTCATATGCGTCTATCGCATTCATTTTGCGCACCGGGAAACACCACTTCCAGTTCCCCTCCAATCGGTGCCGTGCATATTATAATCGCTATCGGAGACGATAATCACGCTCTCGTACTCAGCGCTACCGCTCTCTCAATGACCACCGGGGTGAAAGTTCGCGCTAGTATAACCAAGGGACTCATCCGTTACCGTATCATATCGTATACACCTATAATTCCCCCATACGGAAATTCATCGTTTCATTTCCCCATTCTCAACTTCTGGCTGATTACGAGTCAAGAAAGAATCAGATGCCATCGATATAAATGGCTCTGTCAACTTAATAATACTTCACCACTAGAACGTGTCACTTGTTGGGCGATATGAAAAAAAGGTACCATCTTCATTGATTGACAATGTGAACCCCAAGCCAAGCACGGCAGCGCCCGATTCCTCCTAGAAACCCAATCGCACGCACAGCATCGCATGCCCACATCAAAAGGTACCCGCAGTCAACCGCTGCCAGTCATCCCAAGGGTCCACCCAGCGCTTGCTGATTCCCGGGAATTGATGGCGCAGGCGGCGAACCCGAGGAAGGTGTCAAAGCTGAAACAGGTTCAGATGCCGCACTAGATGGTGCACCAAAAAGAGCGTTCCGCGTCGCCGTAATAAGATCCCACTGGTCGGTTTCCCCGTGCACATCAAACATGTTGACTCCAAGCATACCCGTCTTCTTGGCGAACGCGCCTTTCATGGCGAGAGATTCGGGATCGTCGTACGGAATAGTCTGCGCGTCTGAATGCAAGAACGGCGTCGCGGAGCACTGGTCCCAGGAACGTTGGAAGCCGCTTGAAGGCACGGCGGCGTACGTTCCGTCATTATTACGCTGCAGGACGCCCTTGGCCACGAGATCTCGAAACTGTATTTGATGGTCGTCGTCAGAATTAACAGTGGTGCGCCTAGCGAGGCGGTGGAGACGCGGGGCTTCAGGAGAGCGGCGTTGTCGGAGGTGGTCTACACCTACGTTGCTGACGTAGCCGTATGCTGGAATGCCGAGAACCAATTTGTTCGCAGGGAAACCTGCTGCTGTCCAGGCGTTGTACCCGGCTACTGCGTTCTGGGATGGCTGAGTAGAATTTCCACACCCATCGTACAAGGGGGCGTTGGGACCAGGGGGGGTTACAGCTATAATTTTACTATGCATCAGTACTTTCCTGTCGTTCGTTTCAAATGAAAATGGACCTTGAAAATCGTCGTAATTCATGAGCAAGATCCAATCAACTATCTTCCCAAAACCAGACGCGTCCTTGATAGGTTGACCGTCGGGGCCAGCGAAGGGAGTGTCCTGAACAGCGCACGATATTTTCGCTCCCAGGGGGAGCTTCTGCCTAAGAAGTTTCAGGAACTCGAGCATGTTCTCTTCGTCGCTTGGACTTTCGGTGTTGCCTTGTTTGCCTGCTTGTCCGGGGTACTCCCAATCGATGTCGACGCCATCGAGGTTGTATTCGGTGTAGGTGTCGAGGATGTTACTGACGAAGGTGTTCCTGTTGGCTGGTGTGGACACCGCTTGCGAGAAATAGCTTAAATTCTATGAGTGACTCGGAGGAAAAAAGTTAAGGGTACTACATACTGACTGCCTGTCCATCCCCCAATACTAAGCTTGACCGACGTCGACGCAGCATGTGCATTCGACACGAGGTCGCGGAGTAAGGTAGACGCATCAGGGGAATCAAATACGAGTTTGAAATCTGCGTCTGGGAGAGCAAACGCAAAGTCGATAAAGTCGAATAGGCCAATAGTTCATGTTGGCGCGGGGTGCCCAGTCAACAAAGTAGGTCATGACGAGGGTCCCTGGAACGTTGCGTCCGACTTGGGAATGGGTTTCCAGGTTCGTTGATTTTCCATAGCTAGAAGATAACTGGACTGAAGGAGCGGAAAGGGTAAGGAGTGGAAGGAGAGACAACGTTGCGAACATGCAGGATAACATGGTGAAAACGTAGAGAAGACGAATGTCAATCATGAGAGAGCATGCAAGGTAGATATACTCGTTATTGGGTTGGTGTCAACCACCGGGGCTGACGTGACTGCAGCGGCGCACAAGAACAGAGTGCACGATTTGAAGTGGGGCTGACACCTAGACTGCATCACAAGTGAACGTGGACGTACTACTGCGTCGCACATAGTGTTCTGGATCGCGTTTATTGGCTGAAGATTCTATCATCCAGCAAGTCAGGCGCAAGGACTCCACCGAAAGTCCTGGATTACTGCGCCACATAATCAGCATCGAAGGTGAAATACAAAAGGGTTGACGTGGACGTACTACTTCACGAGATCACCCGGCGGCAAAGGGTGGACCTGCAGGGTTATTGCTAAATTTGAAACCGCGGAATAAGAGGAGCGGGAGGTGCTAGTTACTATGGACGCGAATCAGTGACAATTCGTGGTCGGTTAGCTGGCGACCAAGGATATACAGATGATAAGTAAGCTGAAAGGAAGGCGTGCACACTTCGGACGAGGCATCGAGTGGCATGCGGTTCAATAGTATATTTGTCACGGCATGGCGGCGGTAGAGTTTATGTTCCGAGGGTCGACACCGGTAACGTTGTGTATAAAGGTACAAGTTTCAGGATAAACTTCCGAGGAGTTAAATCAGAGTGTTATTGACCGGATTGAGGGGACAATGATAACATGGATAATGGACAAGAGGAGTCCTGATTTGGACGGAAGGCTTCTGGTTCTTCTTAACAGTTAATTTGATGCTGACAATGATGATCATTGGTGTCGACGACGAGCACAATATGCGAATCGAAGAAGTGCGTCTTAATTAGAGAACCACTTAAGAGTGTGAGGATCAAAGAGTACATGAATCGGATTATCCATAGGAGGAGAGGCAGTGTACACGTCAGACAATTGTTTTTAATATTGACGTATTTAACTCCTGTTGGTGGCTTACCCTGGTTTCCAAGTCCCCACGCGTCCATATACGCCATTGCTGTACCATACTCCGACTTGCTTTGTAGTAGTTCGGCGTGGCGTACACCTGCATTGTCCATTGAAAATAAATATGACTAGTGCACGTCAAAGGCAACTCGCTTTCGAAAACACGTTGGACGGTTACCGTGACTCAGTATATTCGGCAATAAGTGATTCGGAGTACCATATCCCCACTTGGGCATGTCACACCGGCTCAATGGTAAACCAATTACGTCGTGACTCGGACTGCATTTTCGAATCTTTCGGAACAACATGTAAACACCTTCTTATATAAAAACCACCTCAATAAAATGTACGCCCATCCACCATCATCATCATCACCATGTCCTTTTCTCGTCGTTCTCAATCTCCTCCTCCTCCAATGCCTTCCCCGGAGCTCGTACCAACTCCTTTACCCTCACCACCCCCCATTCATCGAATCTCTCGTTTGACCATTCCCGCAAACAATTCACCTCCAATCCCCCCTCGCCTTATAGGCTCGCCACTTTTGCAGAACACTCTAAACGCGTCCAGGTCATATGACCGCTTAGACAGAAAGGCAAAGGAGGGTCTCTTTGGTGAAGACGATGATTTCGGCGCTCGTAAACGCGCTTTGGGACGGAGAAGTAACTCATCAATATCATCACTCCCTATTTCTTCCAACTCTCCTTCTCCAACTCGCACTACAAGGCGCAGCTTCGGTCATTCATCAACCCGTTATCGCTCCCCGCCACCTAGCCCTACCATCGCGTCTCCACCACCGCCGGTTCCTCCTATCCCAGCATTCATGCTCAGCCCGACAGACAAGAGGTCTATCGTGCGGTCAATACCTGATAAACGAGCCACTGCTCCCGCACACCTCCCTGTCTTTGACCTCTCGAGGTCACGCTGCGAATCATCACCTCAGACTGCTGGCGCAGTCACCTGCATGCAGTTCTTTACCATGCACAATACTCGCAGAGACTGCCGAGTCTGACCGTGCACGACGCATGACTGCATGACCGAGCTTCTATCTTGATGAACCTTAAATAAGGCTGCACCAGCTGCGTCTTGTGCCATCATTGTACACACAACTTAACATCATTGGGACGACATCGCTTGCCAACGACCTTCCTTGCACATATCCATATATTCTTTCTTTAATATTTATTCCTCTTTTATGCTCACCACCCGCGCCTTAATGCGCCCGATGCACGACATCTGTGCCTTTTCGTTCCTTCTAGTATACAGCCCCACGCTCACTTTTGTAATACTCACAAAACGTACTTACTATACGCGCCTCAGTACCATAATATGTTCTCGACCGTGTTCTAACACTCGTAATGATATCAAACTGTGTTTGAAGTTCAATTAACCCCCTAATATTCCGAAGGTCTCGGGAAATGTAGTTGAAATTTTTTATGATCGAACGCGCTGTACGACAATTCGGTTCAAGACTGCCACCGTATCGATCACACGACCCTCCACCCGGCGCGCATCACTCCGCCACAGCAAATATAAAGGTTTTAGCGTCCCCTTACGGACCTGCTGACCAGTGCCTTACTCGGAAGGAACACGATAACGTTGTCTTATGACGTCCCAAGACTTTTCCACAGAAAGTAGAAGCCGCCACCAAAGCGGGCGTCATCGACGCGGACGTGCAACGAGGCAAGACGAATTTTTCTTTTAGATATCCTTACGGAACCGCCATCCATGGGCTATGCGGGTCTTCGTGGTTTTAGTGTGCGGCGAAAGCGTCGGGCACGGATATACAGGCACGATCAGAATACCGCTGTGCGCTGATTGTGAGGAAATGAAGGGTATGTATCATGAGGCCGATAACAGCGTCCAGTGCAAATGTAAATTACACGTCACTCGTAAAGTCACCTCGATGACGATACCCCCTTTCATTAGTAATCAATCAATGGCAAGAAAAATGATATTTATCCGAAGCAACCGTGATGACGAGCGACTAAGCTCAATGTGTAAGCGGCCCCAAACCGAAGTACATGACGCCTATGCACCGCAAAATACACCCTGGAAACGAAACGAAACGAAAAGTTTAAATAATACCAATCATCATCTGCGCATAGTCATGCAACAACAGAGATTGGAACATGTAGGGATACAGCAGCCAGCTACAGCTGTAGCGAACAAGGGGAAAAAAAAAAAAAGAGTCAAGTCAGCTATCGATACAATTCTTTTCGATTTGATTGAGAACCGCACCAAATACACTATGGTGAACCAAGACAAAAACATGTTTTTCAAGGTTCAAAGATGCAGTGGTCATGAATGTCAATGTTTGGTCAAAGTCCCATTCTTTCCGCCAACGTCCGATCTCCAAATGCGTACGCATGACCTGCAAACCCTCGAGCCCTCCGTCCCCCTCCGCCACCACTACCACCACCATTGCGCCGCGCAAAACGGTCCCGGTCCCTATCTCTACCATGCTCTCCCTCGTGGTCGCGTGCCCAGTCTTTGTCCCGGCGGTGGCTCTCCCGGTCCCTATTATCATTTGGAGAGCGTGGGCGTGTCCGCGCATCTTCATCAACCTCCATCTTCACATTGCTTACTTTGGCACGGGGCTCTGTAGGGGATAGGCGAGGCGAGCGAGGGGCCTCGTAGTCTCTGGGAATACTCTGGCGTGCATTGCCAATGTGGGGTTTTGTGGGTGGAAGAGAAATGTTAGAACGTGCGGGTGACACTTTAGGCTCAGAGAGACGTGGCTTCTTGTGTGCTCTCGGTCCGGTTGGAGGGAGTTTGATTACCCCATTACTCGTGGATGCGGGGTGATATAATTCGCGAGGGGCAGGCGCGTATGAATGATGGTTAGCGTTCATTTGACGCAGAGAAGTCTGGAAGCTTTCATAGGACTTGTCTAGTTCTGACCTGTGGTGTCTAGGCGTCAGTGAAGATACACCTAGCCTATGAGGTCACTCACGACAGTGAAGCGATTACTTGATGAGATTCTAATAAAACATGCTGCACGTAAGGGACAGTTGAAAGAAAAATAGACAATAAAACGCATGCCTCGCAAAGCTCCTTCTAATCTCTCCACAACTCGTCGGAGTCCGCGAACTTCCTCCTTAAGCTTCCCAGTCTCCCCGGACTTGAGCATTTCATACAGTTCATCGTTCTCCTCTTGCAGTATGCGCACCCTCTGCGTTAGCGCGGTGTTAACTGTACTCGACGAAGAAGCCACTCCTGTTCCTTCACTAGAAGCCGCCTTGTTGATATGCGGTAACAATACAGAGACTAGCGCAGGGGGCAACGTAACCAGGTCCGTGGTTGGTGCGCCACTCTGGGCAGCAAGATGTTCACGAAGACGTGTAACTTCATCCTAGACAAGACAAGACCGAGTCTATCAATACAACAAACAGTGCGTGACAATCGGCGCCTGGCAACCTTACCGTAAGTTCAGCGACCTGAGCATCCCGTTTTCTGAGCTCGGTTTCAAGGTCTAGTTCCCTGGGTGTAGGGAGGTCCATTGACAGTGCTTCAGTGCACGGACAAGTTAACCAGCCTGCGGAAGGTTCGCTATGAGAAGGGTGCCGTGTGCAAGACCGTTTGCGCGCCTCTTTGGGTTTGTGGTCACATGACGTAGATGGCGGTGGCTGGGCTACGCTGCAAGTCTGCATCTCACGCTCATCATCTATGCGGTGGCATTCTGCGCCGGTCCAGCTATCGGTTGATTATCGATTGCACGAGGTATGCTACGAGAGCCCAGCTGGACAGGTCTGTGCTGCTTCTAACTAGGTTGCGCAACCCTGATCGGTTTATCATCTTGGAGAAGATATATCCACCTGCGGTTCTTCCTGTGCGTTTCTCATCCGGTAAATTGTCATCGGGTGAGAATACACAAGAATGAATCGCAGGGACCGTCGTTATGGCTTTTGTTCGCAGGATGCTCCGGAAAACGAAGTTGACGTTGACTTCTTCGTACTTAGCATTGCAGATATGAACTACCCACGGCGATGTTACTCTACCTCTCTGGAGAGCGCAACTAATGGAGTACAGTGTAGAAGACTAATATGAGTCAGACTCGTGACTACTCTAAAGTATGGATTTTGACGTAAGGCCCTTATGGAGCGGCAGAACACATGCATGACCGTCGGTGCCGCATGCTGTGCGCTGGCTCGGGGATCGTTGAGTAGAGATGGTCTGTTTTTAGTAAGTCATGATGATTCGAAGCAACCATCGCTTACATTGAATTTAGGGTCGCGCTGGATATAAGATCGTGGATTGCGATCAGGCGGAGACCTTGATGACGATCTCTACCATCTCATTTGTATACCCATTACTTATCATGGGCGCAAACTTTCTTTCATTAGCCACATCAGCGACCGCTTCTTCTGTCTCTTGGAATGCAACTCCTTTCAATCCCGCATCCATCCCACTTGCAGTTCGGACACCTTACCTGTCTGCATGGTTACCACAAGCTGCTGGTACAGCGCTGAACGGTGCCTGGCCCCAGTTTTGGACTGGATCGGTGAGCTTTTTTCATTATACACATTTGAACATCGACGAAGACATTGTCGTGCAGACTCTTGGATGGGCTGGTTATATCAGAGTTGATGGTGCCACGTATACCTTTCTGGGTGATCCCGTTGTTCCAGGGGCTAAATATGCCGTCCAAAAAAGTCTGGAGGTGATTGTGGTTTGATCGTATACATGAGAGCACACTTATACATGATGCAGTTCACTTCAACGCAAAGTATTTTCGTGATGACTGCCGGGCCGGTGGACATCAATGTGAACTTCCTTAGCCCTGTAGAGGTATATATGGTGTCTTTGCCTTTACATTACAACAAGTTATCGTTAGCCCACAGACTTCCTTAAGCAGTCCATCCCCTTCTCGTACCTGGCACTGTCCGCAGTGTCTAATGATGGAGGGTCACATACCGTCAGTGTATACACCGACATAAGCGCAGAATGGGTATCTGGAGATGATTCTCTGACGGTCAACTGGACCACTACTACCGGCAACATCTTGACTCATCAGGTCATGCTTGAGAATCAGGAGTTGTATACGGAACATAATGATCATATTCAACGTGAGTGACGAGTACAGCTTACTGGCTGGCTGACTCAGATCGTTCTTTATAGATGGTGCAGCCTATTACTCTACCCAGAATGTATGTATCTTTGTCGCTCAGTTTCCATTCTCATGCTGATTTCTTCTTCAGTCTTCCTCTGTGACATACCAAACTGGCCAAGACGCCATTGTTCGAGCTCAATTCATCAACAACGGTGTTCTTGCCAACACTAAGGACATCAACTTTCGTGCCGTCAGCAACGATTGGCCAGTCTTTGCATTCGCTCACAACCTTGGCACCGTGTCGACCACTGCAACTGTCCCTGTCATCTACACTGTGGGTCATGTAAGAGATCCGGCAATCCAGTACATCGTCGCGAACGATGTCTACCAACCCCGAAGTATCTACTTCTGGAGCGCTTACTCAAGCGTCGCGGACTTGGTGCGTCTCTAGTCTTTTCTCATTAGCACTAGTTTTGGAAGTCATGTTCCAGATTTCTGACTTCGTTGGGGACTACTTTGCTGCTCTGGGACGCGCGCAAGCGTTCGACCGGAAGGTCCAGAGCGACGCCTCGGCCATTTCAAGTAATTATGCTGCTGTCGTTGCGCTGTCGGTTCGTCAGGCCTTCGGAGCCCTGGAGTTCACGCTGTCGAAGAAAAGTGATGGAAGTTGGAACGCAGATGATATCCTGATATTCTTGAAGGGTAATATATGGTTGCTTCCAACCAAAATAGTTGTCTGACGTCAAAACCCCAGAGATCTCTAGTGATGGCGTAGGTGATACGCTTTGGAGCTGTGGGTTGCTCACCTTCGCAACTCCAGAACGTGAACACTGTGGATGTCATGATGCCTGCGTGGCCTATTTTCTTGTACGCCAATCCTCCACTTGGAAAATATCTACTGCTCGGCCTCCTTGAGTACCAAGCTACCGGTCAATATCCAAACGCTTGGGCTGCTCACGATCTTGGTTTGTCTTCTACGAAGAATCGCTGAGATTCCCTAATTCCTCTTATTATGAATTAGGTAAATCGTACCCCAACGCTACGGGCCACAATGCTGGTAACGATGAAGCCATGCCTCTCGAAGGTGATTTCCTTTTCTATGTACATAACTCGATTTCTCAGCGCCTGTGCTTTCAGAGTGCGGCAATATGCTTATTATGGTCTTGAGTTACACCCAGAAATCTTATGACACTTCCTTGATCACCCAATATGTCAGTGCTCACCATGACCGCGTCCCCCATACGTTCACCACTTTCTACAGACGGACCTTCTCAACCAATGGACCGGATACCTCATCGCAGAAGCCCTCATTCCCGCAAATCAGATCAGCACAGATGATTTTGCGGGGGCTCTTGCCAATCAAACCAATCTAGCCATCAAGGGTGTGATAGGCATCCAGGCTATGTCTATAATTTCGGGCATATTAGGCGATACTGTCAATCAACAGAATTACACCGTACGTTATCGTTGATGTTCTAGATTGACATGAACTTACTCTTCGAACGTTCAGTCAATCGTACAGCGCTATGTTCCGCAATTACTTGACTATGCCACATCGAGCGACGGGTTGCACCTCACCTTGAATTACGGAAATGAAAGCTCGTAAGTCTCTAGTATATACATCTGCGTTATCGCTGATGGTGTCAAGTTGGGGCTTATCGTACAACCTGTATGCGGATAAGTTACTTGGCGCCAATGTTTTCCCAGAGTCTGTTTACGACATGCGTAAGTCCGAGTGTCAATCGCTCTGAACAGTTTTGAACAGCTTCGCAGAGACCGCATGGTATGCCAGAGTTATCAGTGAGTGAATCGCATGCAATCAACATGGAATGATGATTCACGTATACAACTATCCCTTCAAGATACTTACGGCGTCCCTTTGGACACTCGGTGAGTTGTTTCTCGATCTAAGTGAACAACAAAACCAACAGACTCATAGCCACACATACACTAAATCCGACTGGGAGTTATGGACTGCTGCCATTATGACCAACACGGCGACGCGAGATATGTTCATTGATTCTGTCTACAAGTATGCTGCAGACGGTGAAAGTAACAAGCCGTTGGGGGACTGGTATGAGACGCTTGATGGTACTGTGTATGGATTTAGGGCCCGCCCCGTCGTTGGTGGTCATTTGGCTTTGGTGAGCGTTGCAAATAACGCACTTCGTCGATGTGCTGATTTGTTCGGAAGCTTGCTTTGTGAAGTGCTGGTTAATTGGATACCAATTCGAATCTTGGCTTGTTGTGATTCCGTGCAGCGTCAGGAATATGTAGTATTCGAGTTGTGCATGGAAAAGTGACATTCTTGTATGCAAGCAGGGATTTGGACTGGGGCCCATGATGCGGCAAGTCCGGCAGAGTCCAAGTGAGTTTAAACACCACTTGATGACAAAGCCTAGTTTCGCATCTGGGATGATGTCATGCGATCGAGCTAAGTTATCAAATCACGTCGATCCCAAGCAGAGAATTACGATGCAGACTACTAATCGCCTATATATTACAAAGGACTCAGACCAGCAGAAGTCCATATTCCTTCTTTCTTTACGACCATGATGAAGAGAACTCGTAGCCCGAGCCCACTTGCCATGTCAAAGAAAGGCAGGACCACTGACTCTCTCTTTGCACCCATAAAGATTGCAACACAAGAAGCTGCAGCTTCCGTTCAGACTCACCCACCGTTCCTGCGACTCCTGGACGCATTGCGCGATGTTGTCCAGAAGCCCTCGAAAGGACAATCGATAGTTTACTGGATGAGGATGGGAGACCTACGCAGTAAGTGTTGCTTCTTGGTTCAACATGCGTATCCATCTTGATCAACTCCCTATTCCAGTTTCCGATAATAAAGCTCTCGCCCTCGCATCAGCTCAGGCAGTTGAAGATCAAGTCCCGCTTGTAGTCTTGCATGTCTTGAGCCCCCAGGATTATATCGCGCACGACAGGAGCAAAACAAGGATCGATTTTGTTCTTCGTAACCTTTCACGAGTGAAGGTGAAACAGATTTGTGTTACCATCACTACAGAAGGCTAATTTATACTTTGGTAGGACGAGCTTGCAAGATTAAATATTCCCCTTTACACCATCACGCATACACCGCGAAAGTCAGTGCCAACTCGTGTCATCTCGGTCCTGCAGACTCTCCAGTCCACTCGGCTCTTTGCGAACTTCGAATACGAGGTTGATGAGCTTCGGCGTGATACTGAAGTCTGCTCTTTAGCCCAGAACGCGGGAATCAGGCCTACGTATGTGCACGATAGGTGTATCATCGAGCCGGGCGTCGTGAAAACGAAGGATGGGAGGACATACACGGTACATTCTCCCTACACTTACTTTCAAGTTGTTATTCTCAGCATGTGCCTTTCAGGTCTACTCACCGTATCAACGAAACTGGATCAGCATTCTAAATTCGAACCTCTCAGATTATCTGAAAGAGTCTCCATCTCCAACATCCAACCCCTCGACAATCAGGGAAGATCATGTCTTTGGCCCGCTATTCGAAGTCGATGTACCTGTGTCGGTGCATGGCTTCGAACTTGATCCTGAAGAGGCTGCCAATATGGCAAACATATGGCCAGCAGGAACATCTTATGCCAAAGAGGCGAGTGTTGCACTAGAAGAGGGGATCATAATTAAACCTTTATCAGATGCTCTCTCGGTTCTTGTACACCAAAGCGCGTGCGACGCAGCTTGGAGCTGTTGATCCTCTAGCTGATGGAGCCGAGGATTCCGACAAAAGCAGCCGAGTCCTCTTGTATGACGAGGCCCGTGACAGAGGGGACAAGGATACTACATCGCGGTTGAGCCCCTACCTATCTGCTGGGGTCATTTCTGTCAGGGAATGCGTTCGTCAAACTATGAAGCTTCTCAGAATTCAAAAAGTGGAGGCTGGACGGTCATCGGGCGTAGGTCGCTGGGTGCAGGAACTCGGTCTGTCTCTTTCAAGTGCATTGGACGCATAATTGATGTATGATGGAATAGCCTGGCGAGACTTTTACACCAACGTCCTCGCATACTATCCACGAGTATCCATGGGTAGACCCTTCCAAGAGAGGTTTGCTGACGTCAAGTGGGAAGTTAACGAGGAGCACCTGAAGGCTTGGAAAGAGGGGAAAACTGGCATCCCTATCGTCGATGCTGCGATGAGGCAGATAAACACCATGGGTATGTTTTGTATCGATCCTTTGGAATATTGATTCATCAGATTGTCAGGTTGGACTCATAATCGTATGCGCATGATTGTCGCTATGTTCCTGTCGAAGGATCTTATGTTGGATTGGCGGCTAGGAGAGCGCGTGAGCTCGTCTCTTCATTTTCATTTTTATGCGCTTTTCTGAAGAGCGCTCGCAGTACTTCATGGAAAAACTCATAGATGGTGATCTTGCAAGTAACAACGGCGGCTGGCAATGGAGTGCCTCCACTGGAGTAGACCCAGCACCCTACTTCCGGATCTTCAATCCTTATACGCAGTCCTCCAAGGCAGATCCAACAGGTGATTTTATAAGGACATTCGTACCAGAGTTGAAAAGTCTCTATGGATCTGGTAAGTGTAGGGTTAACTCGCTGCTCGGCGTTCAACCGATGTTTGTTTTACGAATGCAGATATCCACAACCCTCCGGCCAAGGTTGCTGATAAATTGGGGTATCCGAAACCCATCGTCAACCATGCTGAAGCGAGAGTGAGGGCTATTAGGAGGTATAAGACACCTGGTGAAGAGTGACCAGCACGATTTGCACGTAGCATCAGGAACACGAGGTGACAAGTAGAGACGATGGAGCAAACCGTCATAAATCAAACTCGTCGTCATCCTGATCTGTCTGTCCACCCTTTCGTAATTTACTTGCGTTTGAAGATGACGAGACGTTGTATGTGATACCAGATTCATAAGCATTTCGCGCTTTTTGAAGGACACCTGTCAAAGGACGATTAGACATAAGTGACGAGGTATAGGCGAGATCACTACCGCTGTTCGCTAGCCTAAGCTCGAGTACCGCAGTCTCAAACGCATCATTATTCCCGAGTTCTTCGAACCCAATAAGACTAAGAATAGATGAATGACTGAATGACATTGACAAGACCATAAGACATACCGGTCTTTTGACACCCCATCGACGAAGCACATCAAACATGGAAGGACTTTAATGGCAAGCTTCTCGACTAGCCATGGCATATTCTCCACGAAGACGCGAATGAAACGCGTAGCATAGTATTTTGGCGCAAGTTTCTTATACGAATCCATCAGTAATCTGCTTTCTTCGAGGCACGAACCATTACTCACTGCGAGGTGCTTGTCCATGATCTCACATCTCCTGAAATTGCTATGGTAAAAATGAATCACGCAGTGTGACTCGTTTCTAAAAGCACGATGATGTAGCAAAGAACGAGACGAACAGAGTGGGCGACTCACGCACTTATCCGGATGGCCTCTTTCTCGTTCGTGATCTCCATGTATCTTCCATGGGCATTTTCTCTCATTTCTTTGGCCCTTTGCATTCTGCAGACGTTTATGTCATTTGTCGGACAGAGAACACCAATGGAACGCACGACTCACTCGAGCCTGAGCTGCTCTAGGCCCCGATCTCGCACTGTTGCATCAGCGTCGTTCTCTATCTCTGCTTCGAGTTCTGCAAAGATAGCATCATCGTCTTCTTGATCTTCCTCCCGGGAATCATTGGAATCTACGAGACGCGATGCTAGAGAGTCAAACTTCGAATGTATTCTGGTCATGATGAGCTAGCAGAAGTTGCTGTGTGCTCATTCTGACTCACACATTGTTCATATTTGCACTACTAACTCTTGCAAGCTGTGAATAGCTGGAGAATTGTGAGGACAATAGCAAGCTCAGTGGACAGTGGATTGATGAGTGACTGAGAGCACGCGATTACTTGTTTAGGCCAACTCGGTGAGCTACATTTGATCTATCTCGAGTCGTTTGATGGTTACGAAATCGATCTCGACGATAGCAAGGCGGTTCATATGGACGGACAGAACGACGAGCTAACAGTACACTTAGTAACTCAAAACTGCGACGATACATGAGTAAATCAGATTCATTCAGCGGGACAGTGTGTGGCACTACTAGAGTACAGTAATTATTTCTAAGCTCCTTCGGTGCATCTGCCAGATGTTTCATAATTGTAGTACGCCCGGAGAGTTCTGTGGAGCAATAATTCAACGTCGCATAACCCCTACTTGTACTGAATAGCAGTTCAGAAATCTGCGTCAGAGATCAATGAATGTCAAACAATGGACGGAAATGTCGACTACCCAGCCGGGGTGCATCAGTAAACTACAATGTTCTGTATTAACGCAATTTTTACATTTTCAAGCTCGGTTAAGTGAAGTGTAGATTTGCTGATGCGTACACTGCGGCTGATGAGTCAACAGGACAGAAGCAACTCGCAGAACATCGAGCCACTCATAGCCTCGTTTACAGTGTGCATCAGATTTGCACAGCAAAAGTATGGTTCGAACATTCAATATTGATTCAAGTAGCCGAAAAGAGAAGGCCGCGAGGCTGCAGCTTGGAGAGCAGAGCATTCTACACCTTCACAAGGATTTGCATGTTGCGAAGCCTTGGGTTATTACCACCGTCAAATCATCAGGGAAACGCGACAAACGATGTTACATAATTGGCTGACTTTGGTTTAGGCCCCTTTTGGGTGCTGCTTCAACTGCAGAGTCGGACTTTACGTCAATCACTCTCCACGATGAAGCTCATCGGTAAATTTGTCGACAAAAACGGGACCGTGAGTCGTTCACGGTGTTCCTTGTCGAATGATTGATTAATTGATCTGAACAGGGCTATGTCAACCTCCGACCCGAGGATGATGAAGATATGTGGCATCTTTACAACATTATACAACAAGGTGACCTTGTGCGAGCACCAGCCATTCGGTAAGACATTTGCGCGATCAGCAGTTCTCTAACATGCTAAATATTTATAGTCGCATACAGAGTGTATCTGCTACTGGATCTACGGAATCTCATCGTGTCAAGTTGAACCTCACCATCCAAGTATCCCGAGTCGAATTCTCCTCATCAGGAGCACCTTCATCATCAGCGGATCAAACTTCATCCCCTGCAGGATCTTCATCTGCGGCACCCACAACCACTTCAGCGCTGCATATCTCTGGCCCTGTTGCATCTGAAAACCGACATGTGAAGATGGGCGCGTTTCATACGCTCGACATTGAGAGTAACCGCGATATACGCATCGAGAAGGTCGATGGATGGGACAGTGTGGCCCTTGCTCGTGTCGAGGAAGCTTGTGTGCCGGGACGCGGCGCGGAGGTAGGCGCAGTTGTATGCGGAGAAGGCACAGCCGCGTTCTGTCTCCTTTCACAACACATGACACTGGTCACCCATCGGATATCGGTTCCAATACCACGCAAGGCTTCTGCCCCTGGAACATCTCAATACGAGAAGGCGATGGCGAAATTTTATGCCATACTCTACGAGGCATTTGTGCGACACATACCTTATATGTCACCTAGTCTGCGAGCAATTGTGTTTGCAAGCCCAGGTTGGGTACGAGAAGGTGTTTTCAATGCTATGATAACAGAAGCCGGGAGGAGGGGGGACAAGACGTTGACCAAGGCTTTGCGAGAAAAGACTGTGAAAGTGCATGTCAGTAGCGCACACGTCCACAGTCTTGTCGAAGTTCTCAAGAGTCCAGAGGTAGGGTTTTTGGTATAAGACTTTGTCGCACAGGTGCATTTATTACACTTGCAGATTGTTGCACAGCTCAAGGAAACAAAATTTGCGCGCGAGGGAATAGTTCTTGATAAGTAGGCATGCACGTGGTGGCAGCTGTACTGTTAATGTTGATTACTTTTTTTGTCAGGTTCTTCAAGATGCTTGGTGTGGACGAGATGCGCGCGTGGTATGGTCCTGATCATGTCCGTTTAGCGGCAGACCGTGGAGCCATAGGGACACTCCTCATCTCCGACGAGCTTTTCCGGTGAGATGATTGTGTCACACACTGGCATACTGCAGCTCAAGCAATTTGGACAGTGCGAGTGACCCGAAGCTGCGAAAGACATATGTCGAACTCGTCGAAGGAGTGCAACAAAAGGGTGCAGAAGTTGTCATGTTCTCGAGCATGCACGAATCCGGTCAACGTATGTGTCCAACGTGCTTCTATTTATCGTACTCATGAGGACCCAGAGTTGAATCAACTAACGGGTATTGCTGCAATACTCACGTTTCCTCTCGATGTCGAAGTCGTAGAAGCAGAAGAAAGAGAAGCAAGAGAGGAGGAGAGAAGACAACAGGAAACAGAGACGCTGGATGGTGGTGGCGTCGGATAAAGGTGTGAGTCGCCATTAAGTAAAATGTGGTGGAAGTATTTCCAAGTAAGCTCATATGGTTATTTATACCCTGCTACTTATGTGCGCTGAACGCGCTTTTTGTATGCTTCCCAACCAGCAGCTTGATATCTCTGAGCTTGCTTAAGAACCTCCCGTGTATCCACATTTTCACCCTTGCCATAAATGCCTCTTCCAACAATGATAACGTCACAACCACTTTCAAAAACGACTTGCTCTGGAGTGCGGTATTGCTGACCCATGGCATCGCCTGTGGCATCTAAGCCTACTCCTGGCGCGAGAACCAAGAAATCTTCCCCCGCAATATTATCGGTATCGGATGCACCAATACCTTCCATGCGATGTTGAGCAATGAAGCCGATGACAAAATCCCTGCGAGCTCGAGCCATACGAACTGCATCTTCTGTATATGACCCAGTGGTTAGTGCACCCTTGGAGCTCATTTCTGCCAGGAGTATGAGCCCCCGATCTTTGGGAATGCCAACCGAGGCTAGGCCAGTGATAATCGATGGCCCCGGAACAGCGTGAGCGTTGGTAATATGAGCCCAGTCCTGCGATCTTGTAGATCCCTTTTGAATACTGCAATGCCACGGTACTTCCTAAGAGTTGTGATATCATTAAGCTGTCATCCGAAATCTGCAACACCTTACCTATGTCAGCGAATTTACGATCCTCAAATATCAAAAACTTGTGTTTTTCGCTAAGCTCCCGGAGGCGGTCAATCACAGTCGGATCAAAATCTTCGAGTATATCGATGTGGGTCTTTCGGTAGCGCCATGAGCATTAATTGAGAGTTCGGAAGAAGTGACAGATGCCTTTATAAGACAAACATGAGGACCAACTGCCTCGATGATGTCAAAGAAGTCTTTGGATTTAGTCACGTCGACGCTAACAGAGAGATTTGACTGTTTTTCCTCCATGACTCTGAGCAGAGCCCTCGCAGCTTTGTTGGCATGTCTCTGTGCTCGCTCGTTGTATGTCTGGAGATGAGGAGACGACATGATGGTCACTGGCAAGACGAGCTTGATTTCATCTAGGATAAATTTGGTTTTGCTATCTTATCTATTCTCAGGCTTTTGACTGTTCTCGATCAACCATTAAAATGTCGTCTTCAGCTATCCGGGAACGTGAAGATGATGAAGAGCTTGCTCGTTCACCCAAACGCGCCAAAGTCGACGAGCTGACGGATGATGGGCCCATCGTCGCAGACACCTCCCCGCTCATGAGTGCGGCTATTGCTGCTGGAGACTCAAAAGAGAGCACTTCAGCAATTGCAGCTGAAAGTGTCCTTCCTCCTAGCCATGCTCTCCTAGGCATAGCGCCTACGTTCTCATCGAATGGCCTTCGTCAGGTCCTTCAGACCGATGTTGGGATCTCCGAGTATATAAGCCGGGACGTCCCTCCCATCAGTGGTATCATAAA